GTATAATTTGAGGGTTTTCCTCGATTTCTCTATCACATCATCAGATCCTGATTTGGCGGTAATGGGACCACCTTGGGAGCATACCCTTTTACAAAATAGTTTTGAACATTAGTCCACAATTGACGGAGATATCGTGTAAAAAAAAAAATGGTCAGGCACGAGTCGAACTCGTGCGCCGTGCCGTGCCGTGTACCTACCCAGATTATACGTAGATTTTCGCAAAAATTTTTAAGTACCAAAATTTACCTTAATTTTCAATTTTATTTATTTTTCAGAATTTTCTCTTTACTTGTGCGTCAATTTTGTTTAAAAGCAAAGTCTTACAGACCTTGCTTTTAACCAACATTGACAACTATTTTTATTCAGCCATTTACATAAAACAACAACTCCCAAAACAAAACTTCATGCTTTTTTCGCCTTTCTTTATTTTACAGCAAAATACAATTTTTACTTTGCCCCAAAATCTTTTTCGGACCATTATTTACATATCAAACAATGATAGTCAAATAAACCAAACCATTCCCAAATGTTGACCACCACATTTCATTCCATTATATTAGTTCATGTATAGACAAACATAACATTAAAACAACAGTAATAAAAATATTACACTAATATTAACTTTACTCTGCAAACGTCATAAAAATGCGATTATAATATTTACGATTATTTAATTTGCATTGTATGCTAAATGTATCTCGGTTCCCTGAACTTACATCAAGTGTTTCGCTTTATGCATATGTATTTATAGACTTTATAGCATTTTCCTGATACAATTACATTGCGCTCTGCCGACTTCTAAATTATTTTACGACTTTTTCCTGTTTTTTTATTCCGAGAATTAGTTTACAGAAAATAAGTTAGCATATATCTAAACTTTACAAGATAAGATTTGACTATGGAAATAGCCTATTATTCTAGTTAGCGATCCTGACTACTAAGCTAGAGGTCGTGGGTTCCATTCCCAGCCAGGACAAATGCTTGTGTGATAAGTTCAATCAATTCTTTTCTGTTTAGGTGTAATTAATCTAGAATTTGTATTCATTTAGAAACATATACGTATCTTGTCTAAGAGCCTGGTTAGTATACCACAGGCTCTGCCTATTTTGGGATCGGGTCTTGGGTGATATGTATCAAGTTAAAGTTATAATTAAAACCAAACTACAAAAAAATCTTTAATACTTAATAACGTGATTTAAATCTTCTTTCTTAGGTTATTGATAAACAGTAAAAAACAGGTATTCTGAGTAAACCTACAAAAAAACTTGTCTCAAATGTAGAAACCGCCATCTTTTTTAACATTGGTTAAAAGGTAACAAAGCGAACTCATATAGTAACAAAGACGGCAAAGGTTAATGGCTCTACTAAAAATAAATACGTGCCTGTGTCTGCCTCTGCCAATCACTCATTCGTTCACACACATTTGATTACCAGACGTACCATTCCATTGACAACTCGCGGCAAACGCCATGACAGGGTAAACAAATAATACGACTATGTTAATTTTTGTTTTTTGAAATTCAGTTTAACTAGATGATTTTGACCGACATATTCTTTGCCATGCAGGTACATTCGTCTCAGACACCTTTTTTTTTTTTTTTTTTCCGTGCGGAAATCCCCTCGGATACCACCTGTCGGTGGCATGTCGGACTCGAACCGACTAAAACCGCACGCCGTCTCGGGTACTAATAGCCGGGGAACCAGGTATACCCTAGAAAGGAAGTCCCTGGTGCTCGTCTCAGACACCTAAGTTTAAAAAGGCGAAAATGAGTTTTCAATGTCATTGAAACTATTTTTTTTTTCTCTAATATTCAGTGTTCCTATCAATTTTGGTGTGTTCGTTTCCGATTAACGAAATGTAAAAAGTAAGTAAATCTATCCTATATCCTACCTATCGATGGTTTGGCGATTTAGTGAGATTTAAAAAAAATGCAGTTTGCTTAACACACGAAATCGAAAATTAACTAACTCGAAATTGTGACTAGTTAAGATAGGTATTAAACTCAAACTCAAACTCAAAGTTTCTTTATTTCATAAAATTTCCAAAATTGTTTGAAATCGTCTTCCATGTAGACTCTAAAGTCATAGATCAACACACACAAAAGCAACAATCTCTGTTTTTTCAAATAGTAACCAAATAAATTTAACAAAAATTAAACCCATACAAAATCTATGATATGCCTGTGCCGATCTACAACCGCCCGTTTCCAAGTGGTTGAGCCTTATGAGAAGAAAGGGCAAACAAACTCATGGCCACTCTTTTGCAATTCACAAGTAGATACAATGGCACTATTAAATATATCACAACATTGTTTTGGTGTGTGCTAGTATGTCCGTTATTAAGGACTTAAAGGTGAAAAAACAACGAAGAGAAAACAAGATTAAGAAGAAAAAACGAATACAAGAGAAAATGAAGTGAAACATAAAAAATAGAAAAAATAATAATAATAAAAAACATACTAGCCACACCACATTTTTACTTAAGAAAGAAATAGCCTGCGCTAATTAATTCCAAGCATTCTTGTCCTCCATGTAATCCACAATCGAGTAGTAGGCCCTCTGGCACAAGCCACGTTTTATTGCGGATTTAAATTTGTTAATACTCAACTCCTGAATATTATTTGGGATTTTATTATAAAATCGGACACATTGACCTCGAAAAGACTTGTTTATCTTTTGGAGCCTAGAAGCGGGTACAACAAATTTATTTTTATTTCTGGTATTTATGGCATGTACATAAAGATCCTAAGATGGCCGAATATCAACGAATGCCCTCCGGCGCCCGGTGCGCCCTCTGCGGGTAGACACAGTGGTGCTGCATTCTCCCTCCCATTATGCCGCTTCCTTTGCCGATATCACATGTTCCCAGAAGGAAGCGACGGCGCTCCATGCACTCTCACTGCGGACCATGGACAAAACCAAGGTCGGAAGCTAGACGCCACCCGCCGATCTGAATGCCGCGACAATATCACGACGCTGGCTGACCCAAGCTGGGCATTCCGCCAGAGTATGAAGCGCCGTGTCGTCAGGGCAGTCATCACAATTCCTCTCGGCCGATTCCACACAGGTACTTGCCAAAGCAACCATGTCCGGAAAGCACCGGTGTCATCCGGAAGGTGAGAGCTCCATGTTTCCTCTCCATCTACAAGAGTGTCGTAGGACGGGTCTCACCGCCGATTTATTCGTATTTAAGTTAACGCATACATCCCGTCTTTGCCCTAATTAATTTTAATAGTTTTATTACCGACACTATTTACCGAATGATACAAAACATTTTGGGACAAAAATAGATACTATAAAGCGGGATACGACAGACTGAGATCAAAGATAATGTTATGTGAGTTGGACATGAACCCAACTGTGATAGATGTGTGACCTACTTTGAACTTTTACAACAAAGTTATATTTTAACGGGTAGTTGAATAGTAAGTCACCAATACATGTTTTGATTTAGAAACTTTCGTTATAAAATCGTTATAAAAGTATTTCACATGTGAAAAATTTGATAAAAAATATGATGGTAGTAAATTTAACTAATTTACAACGAAAAGAAGAAAAAGTGTCGTCCCTAGTCGAAAAAGTACAGGAAATGCGTCATGTAGTTGGTTTGTATGTTTATAGTTTCAAAGCAAATGAGTGTCGTTGGAGGATTAGAAATTATGAGTATATATCATTTAATGTGTGTTATAACCTCCGTCTTTTTAACTCAATAAAATCTTGTTTGGAAAATAAATTTCTTTAAAAAAGGCAATTATGTGGTAAGCATGACTCATGAAATATTAAAATTATATTTGTATCTATTCATGAAAATAGACGACTTGTCCTATCCGTATACACCATAAAAACACCCCACATCACGAATCTCTCTTAAATATAACATATTTGTAATTTTGAGCTAAGCTAAACCAAGCCATTATGTGGTGTTTTACCCCCACTCCTAAATTAAATTAAAGTAATATTAAAGTTCAAATTCATACAAAAAAAGTTGTTCCTTTGTAGGAAATTTTCACTCAGGAATGTAATACAATCTACTACAATACTCAATAAAACTACTTACTACAACGGGTACAAAACGAACAGTCGACCACAATGTTTATTTTCTGTCACATCTACACTAGTCCACTGCTGGACATAGGCGTCTCCTCAGAAAGGAGGTTTTGGCCCAACTATACCACGCTGGCCAGACGGGTTGGTATAGGGTTTGTGTCAAGTTTTCCTTCTTCTTGCAGTGCTGGTGTCCTGCGTTGTTTTGCGCCCTTAGTCCGCTCTTACGACACCCACGGGATGAATTGGGGTAGCGACATTCCGTATTCTTAATCCGTCACTACACGGACTATTATTTTCTGTACCAAACTGTTTCTTATTAAGAGTATAAAAAAGTAAATACGAGATACTAAACGTCATTCATCAAAACAAAAGTTATGGACAAAACTTAATTCAAATATACAATATTATGACAACAACATGATTTGTGATATAAATATTGTACATATACGATACAGCATCTCCAACACAGCTGTTTCCCATCAAACAACACCGTTATAGTGATTAATACTGAAAATAAACCAATTTGGCTAAATATATTATCATTTAGCAACGTGTTCATCTGAATCATTATCGTTTAACACAGGTACTTTACACGACGTCTATGTCTCATATCTGGTGGTGGCTCATGGCGTATTATCGTAAAACAATTTGATATTCAGAGTGTTGTTATCCAAACATCCTCTTATAATATTTGTATAGTGTGGCGGACGGCGGCCCGTATGAACAGCTTCCAATACACCTAATTCTCACAATTTGGAACACCGCAGTCCAGTGCGCGCCCGCGCCTGCCCGTCGTTATGGCTCAAAGTGCGTTATTTATTTATTTTTATCAAGAACCTGGCCTTCCGCGCATCTCACCTTAGTTTCGATATAGACACCGCTTTGAAGACACGACCACTTTAGCACGATTGACAAAACAGTCAATGCGTTTTAAATTACGCGATATCTGCCTCATGGATTTCGGTTGCCACGACAAGGATTCGGGGGAAGTGGAGTGCTACCTCGAAATACGTAAATACATTTTGACTAAACGCTATCAACGGTGATTTATAGCTTTCTTATTGTTGTGGAACATCGCATTGTAATTTATATTTTTAGTTGGAATCAGTGTAGTTTTTGGGTCGTGTAAACAGCTGGACTCTTCTGGTCGTAAGTTAGTCCGTATGTCAGCGCAGTCCACGAATGTAAGTCGAGTTATACGCTGTTTATTATGTTCAATTCAGTGTCATAACAATATTGATATCGGTAAGCTACAGTGGGCTCTCAGGATGCGTTCGGAGCAAAGAACTGTTAGTAGTAGACGTGACAACATGTCGAGTCGTGAGTAAACAATGAACTAAGTGCGCTTGACGTTACGTTACCAACTAATGAGATCTAATTATGTACATTTGAATATTTTAGATTGCGATACGGGTACTTCTTGCGCTATCACGATTCAAATGCGTAAGTACCTTGACGATAAGAGTAAGCTTGCAAGGAAGCTTGACAATTAATCGCGCTTTGTTCGCTCCTAACCTGACATTTGCAAAAGTGTTAAAAAAGTTGTACTATTGACCTTTCTAAATTCAATTCAGTAGTATTTAAATATTAGCGTAGAGCGTTATTAAACCTATAAGTTTTATAGTTTTTGTTTTAATAAAGAAAATGTTTGTGTGTGACAGCAAATCCGGATTCAGTGGGATGTATAGAGAGGTTTGCAACGTTTCTCTCGTTCCTGCTGGTGATCATCACCTTCCCATTCTCACTATTTGAATGCTTCAAGGTACTTTCTAAGGTGTTTGTATTTACACTACTACGTAACTACTACTAATATAACAAAGTTTTAAATGTCAACTGAAATAAGTTGTATTTCAGTCAAAATAATATAATTCCGTATTAAAATTGTTTTATAGAGTACACAATACATATTTTACATCTATTAGTATGAAGAAATATAAAAAAAAACATATTGTTTTATGTTAGAAGTCTGTACAAACAAAAGTATGTTTTTATTATTATATGGTAGTGATTGTCTGTTTCTTATTATTTTATTTAGAATATTTCAGACTATTTCGAATATTTCAGACTATTTAGTTTATGGATGCTTGCAACAGCAGAAGTGACACTGCATTTTTTGGTTCTGAAACCCTTTTTTCTGAGTCAAAGTCAATCAAATAAAAAAATTGAGTTGAATTCAAAAAATGATTCAAATTATTAGCAGATCAATTATGTTTTTGTGAGCAAATTAAAATTCGACTTACAAACAAACACGTTGTTACAAACTTTAAAATTAGGCTTTTGAAATTGTTTTGCGAATTGCACAGGCGAAAGCATAATATTCTCCAATGTCAGAATGCAAAGAGGTATCGGTATATAGTATTTTAGAATTATTTACAGCCGAAATAAAATGGACTCTAAATAAAATGCTGAGAAAGTATACATTTGTAATAGAAAAATAAAAACCTATTTTCTTTGTTTTAATTAACGTAATTTAAAAGAAAAGACATCACTTTCGATACGAATCTAGAATTGGCATCAACGTCTTTAGTATAATTATTTTTAAAGAAACTTAGTGTCATTAATATAATTCCTCGTCTGTTAGAAAATTTGTATTTATTTAATCACTGAAACTTTTAATTTTACTTTCTTACAATATAAGCTTTTTGCATAATTTTTTTTGCAAAGCTAGACATCTAGCTTTACAAAAATTTTTACTGTTTTGGTCTAATAGTAGCCACTCTTGATGAATAATAGTCTAATATAAAGATATTTGTGACCAGGTTGTTCAAGAATTCGAAAGAGCTGTCATATTCCGACTAGGTCGACTCAGAAAGGGTGGCGCAAGAGGACCTGGTCTTTTCTTCGTGCTGCCATGCATTGATACGTATAGGAAAGTGGACCTGAGAACGGTTTCTTTCAACGTACCCCCACAAGAGGTAAGGCTTTCATCACAATTTTGAAATAAATATTTTCGTTCTCAAAATTTACAACTAAGATTTCGAGCAAGTTGCTAAATTGTTTCAGTTTCAAATATAAAAAAAGTTTTTTTTTTCACTTTTTTATGCCTTTAATGGCATCATTATTATCTAGTCGTAATTCAATAATACACGATATTTCTGGATTTACAGTATAAAATCAAGCCTTGCCGGCTGCAAGCGAAATCAGAATCAGAATATACAACCGTAGAATTCAAAATAAAATTATAAAGTTGAAAATAAGTTTACGTTTGTACTTGTGCCAATAGTATCAAATTAATAAATATTTTCACACATAGTATAATATCTCCAGAATTGTGGTGTTAGGATCATTGAAAATGACAATACGTAAAACTGACAGACTCACATGACAGATGAGCCGACATCTTCTCCGTGCGCTTTATAGAGGGTCATAAATGGAAAACCTTTTCTTTTAACAGAGTTATCAATTTATCCCACAAACACATAAAAATATATTTTTAGAAATTGTAAACCATTTCTCCGTCATTAACGTAAATAATTGTGCCACGTGGCTCCCTCAAACTGGCGCCGCTGATGTGGCATTGCCGAGGCATTGGTATTGAACACCGTTAACCCAGTTGTTTCTGCCGTAATTCAGTTGGCTAACGACTAATTGATGTGGCTGTAAACTATCAATCAATGTTTTACGACATGTAAAACAATCGTTTCTTGTAAACCAATTGTCTGGGCACCGATCTAGTAATTCGTCATTTGTAGACAAGGGCAAATATCACGGTGTTTTTTCTCGAATAAATGTTAAAATGTTGCTCATTATACTATTTTAGCAGAATAGTATTACTGTTGTATTTTTTTAAGTTTGATATCCCTGAAGTCTGATATGTATTGCAAGCAAAAGATTTAATAATAACATTTTAAGTGTATATATTTTGCAGTACTTTATTTACATGTTGAGAAGTTGTATAACTACCGAACAATAATATACCTGACATCTATATTAATATTATAAAGCGAAAGTTTGTCTGCCTCTCTGTCTGTCTGTTACCTCTTCGCGCTTAAACGATGTAAATTAAATTTGGGATAGAGATCGTTCGAGCCCCGAAAAAGGACATAGGATAGTTTTTATCCGAGAAATCATCCTTTAAGGAGGTGAAAAGCGGGGTGAAAGTTTGTATGGGGCATCAATAACCGCTAAACCGATTTAGATGAAATTTGGTATGGAGATAATTTGATTCTCGAGGAAGGACATAGGCTTTTTATCGCGACAACCGACATACACGTGGGCAGAGCCGCGAGCAAAAGCTAATATGTGATAATTTTCTCAAAACTCAAGACATAGTTGAAACAACCATAGTGTGTTCTAGAAGCCTACTTTCTAATAGCAAGCTATTTAGACCAAGACATTGAACCGTTGTTTCACTGTATGGTATTTCTATTGGCAAGACCATTGTTCGCTAATTTGTTGAAGCTCTTCATTACTACCTATTCAACTGTATGTAGCATATGCAGATTAAGTTGCATACTGTATAAATTTAAATCTATTTTATTCATATGTAAGTCTTTTTGTCTTAAAACAGACAACTCCCGCATTAAGAATATATTCCTGTGTCGCGGGGGACTTTACAAACATACATGAAATGGACACAAAGAACACCCAGACTCAGAATAACAATTTGTGGATCACACAAAGTGTAGTCCCATGTGGGGATCGAACCCACAACACTCAGCGTAGTAGTAAGCGGCGTGGCGACCGCTTAAACCACTACGCCATCTGTGCAGTCAAATAAGTCAAAATGTAAGTGTAACATAAAATATCTAGAGAAGAATTTTCTTCACTTATTTTACCACCTTAATGTTACTAATTTGATATTGTAATACAGGTATGATTGACAATCCCGTTGCTCTAGTGGTTAGTGATCCTGACTGCTAAGCCAAAGATCGTGAGTTCGATTCCCACCCATAACAAATAACTATGTGATGAGCCTGATCGTTTATTCTGTCATCATCATCATCAACAGCCTTTACTAGTCCACTCCTGGACATAGGCCTCTTCTTAGAAAGGAGGTTTTGACCTACTATTTATAGGTTTATTCTGTATATGGGTGTAATTTATCTATAGTATGTATGTATTTATAAACATGTAAGTTTAATCTCAGCCTTTTTTGATCAGAGTGGCCGTGTGTGGGATGTGTCAAGTTATTATTATTATTTGACTGCACGGATGGCGCATGGCGTAATGGTTTAAGTGGCCGCCACGCCACTTCATACCACGCTGAGTGTCGTGGGTTCGGTCCCCACATGGGACTACACGTTGTGTGATCCACAAATTGTTGTTCTGAGTTTGGGTGTTATTTGTTTACGTTTCATGTATGTTTGTAAAGTTCCCCGCGACGTTGGATGTTTTCCTAATGCGGGAGCTGTCTTTTTTATTAAAAGAAAGAGAAATTAATTACGAACTATTAAACAGGATGTATATTTTTATTACAACAACAGTGTAACAAGTTGTATAAGTAAGTTTGGTTTAAAATTAAATACACTGTTGTTTAAAGTATTATTTTATTTCATAATATATTATTACTACTGCTTATACTCCTACTACATAAATACACAAATTGATCCATTACCGTAACATATATTGTTTGCAAGATATAAATAACACACACCTGATAAATGTCTATGCATATTTATTCAAAGTACTCATGAGTTTATTTGCAAATTAAAAGCCAGTTGAGGTGAATAGTTTTCTGAATTTTCCGAATTATGAAACAGCTCAACGAAATTCAAAGGATCTTCATAACTTCCGTCAACATACCATAGACGGGGTTGTGATATGTGTGGTGTGATGAGGTTAAATTTTTATTGATGGTGTGGGTTTTATTTTTTATTTTTGTGACTGGGTTGTGGAAAATAAAAATTCTCATATTCAGTTCTAAATGTTACCTGTATGGTTCTTTATGCAACACATGAAAATGATATTATGCTGACTGAGAATACCCAGGTCCTATAAAATTTCATAAGTCTAAGTACCTTTTTCTTATACTCATATATCATAGTAACAACTTTTGTTGGTTAAGCTTACACCTGTTGCAACTAATAAAATACGTCTCCATTTTTATGAAGGATAAAATAACTTAAAATATGTTTACATTTGTCGTATTTTGTTTAAATTACTAATTTTGGTGCAAACTACGTAGTGCAGCACCGCAAACAGAAGAAAAACTTAACACAAACCCTATACCAACCCGTCTAGCAGGCGTGTAATAGTAGACCAAAACGTCCTTTTTAAGGATAGGTTATATCCAGCAGTGGACTAGTAAAGGCAGTTGATGATGGTTATGTTTACATTACGAGTTCTATCATAAATCAATACTGTTATGAAGTCTTCCAATCAACGTTGTTAGTTTTACACTTAATATCCTACGAGCCACATGTCAGTTTTCATAATCAAGGTATATTTAGAGCTTTACTTCCTTGCTTAGATGCTTTATATCGCTCTACAAGTAATGTTTTTGCGTTCGATTTGTTGTGTTAGATGATGATTTATATTTTATGCACTGTTATGTATGTTATAATCAGTTAGTTCCTATTTAGTTTCTTCACATTCCATAGAAATACGGTTTAAAGTACGGTACGGAAGTAAGTAATTTTAGGCCTTAACGTGTTCCAAAGACTTTGTCAGTGGTGATGTTGGTAATTATTAGCTTTTTATCACTTCATAAAAAATCGTATCTTACTGTTTGGTTGATGTATCTACTGACTTTAAATTACATCTAGGTCACCCTAAGAAGAGTATAACTAAGGGAAGTTTGCCATTTTAACGTATTTAAATGTACTTTTGACGAGTTTAGTTTTAGTGTTCAATTATTCTAGCTTGCTAAATATTCCTACTGGTTCTCGCGTTGCGTAGCCACACATCCTCCACTAGCTTCTCTTCTTCCGACAACCATTTATCACAATGCGTTGTAAAAGTTCATATCCTTCTCATTCTCCAAAAGTTGCCGTTGCTAGATGACGCGTCCCATAACTTCTACGTGCTAAACCCTATGATTCTGACTAACGGCAACATTATTCTATATGGCCACGTTAACGTGCAAGTAACACTTAGGTACGAGCTATGTTGATGTCAGGTGGTCAGGTGTCATTAAGCCATGTCATTAGATATTGAAATATTTGCACCTCCCGGCTGCATCGGCTATGGGATATCATGTAATACAGCAATTGGATGATAGTGCAGTATTCTTTCAAGGGCAACAAGAGCCTTTCTCGTGCCCACTCTTATTCGAAAACCAAACTGGCTGTCTGCCAGTTGTTTGCCACGACTAGACGTTATTCCTTCAATGGTGAAATTTAAAAATAGTTTCAATACTTTGCATATAAGGTTCGTTAATGGCGAAACTTTTCTAACTTTCTTATTGGCCTTTCGTAACTTTCGTATTGGCCTTCTTAGTTCATTGTTGTATTAAGATTTGATAATTTAATTTTGGAATTGAATCGCAGTGAAATACAAATATAGCGTATGGATGTGTTCACATCAACAATAACTTTTCAGCCCCATGATCGAAATCAGCGTTGGAACGCTCCTTTAAAAAGTTAAACCGGAATAGGGCTTTCCACTAAGTAATTCAGTCCAGTAACTGGATTGATTATTTTAGCTCGTCCATTCCAGATAAACCAGTTTTGGATTAAATATCGAACATTTAGGTGTTTTCCTATAACTCACTATATATTGACTGACTGATTGATATACGACCCAGACTAAGACTGGACTGGATTGACTCACTGGACTGGTCTGGGATAATTTGAACCGATGCAGCTATCACTATCGTGAGTTACGCTTTCGTTTCAAACATTATTACGTCTGTTGCCACCGTAACAGAACTAAAGCTTTCATCTTGAAATGAATTTATGCTTTGCTTTTAATTTTCAGCTAGTGTAATTTAAGTAAAAAAATTTGCCGTAATAATATTAGTGTAATAAGTAATATTATTACGGCAAAATTTTGTGAGTGTATGTTTGTATATTGTTACTTTTTTACGCTCAAACGGCTGGACCAATTTCGATAAAATTTGAGGCTAGCTGTCATCCTGGAATATCATATAGGCTACTTTTCATTCCGAAAAAAACATAGTGATCGTAGGATAAGCAAGATACAACAACAACCGCGGGGTGTAGCTAAGATATACATATTATAACCGGTCCAAAATATTTCTTATCTCCAAGGTGTTGGTCGACTGGAACGCCCGGCATTTGACCTAAATATACTCGTTCGTTTAACAATGCATCCAGACACCACAACTCGTAAAATTAGGTTAACAGAATAAAACAATACTTTTAAATAATTGAATATTGCATCCATAAAATATTTATGCGAGAACATTTTTAGACGAATCAGATATTTGTTATGAAAACATTGAAATCATTGAATGTGTTTTATGTTCAACGAGTTAAAGCAATACTATACGATCATCGCGCGACGTTTATGGTGAGCTTGAGTGAGTTTGAGCTTCTGCATAGTTACACTGCATACTTATATACTGCATAGTTACTGCATAAATTTAAGGACTGACTTATTGAGATCAGATTTAAAAACCTGATAATTTGTCATTTTATAGGAATATTGGCGCTAATCTCGACTCTAATTCGACTGCAAGCATTGTGTACTGGTTTAAGCGGTCGCGACGCTGCTTCCTACTGCGCTGAGTGTTGTGGGTTTGATCCCCACATGGGAGGATACTTTGTGTGGTCTACAAATTGTTGTTCTGAGTCGGGGTGTTCTTTGTGTCCGTTTCATCTATGTTTGTAAAATCCCCGCGACATAGGATATAGACAAAGGATTCCTAATGCGAAAGTTGTCTTTAAAAAAAATGATTTTAATTCTATCTGCACTTTGAGATTTTGCGGAAAAAATCAAATTAGCGCCTAAAAACAATTCCAATCTGTAATACAAATTGTCGATTGCGGTATTTTCAGACCGACAAGACCTCAAAATCTTTCTTCCACCTAAAAGGTCGGCAACGCGCTTATGACTTTTTTACGGTATAGGAGGGTAAACGATTAGACAGGTAACCTGGCAGTAAGTCACTACCTTTGCCTATGGACACCTGCTAGTCAAGAGTCAGAAAAGCGTTACCGCCGTTTGAATCCTCCTCCAGAATCAGGGAGAGGTGGGTTTTGGGCTCCGGTAACCTCAATCACTCCGTAAAAAGCAGTGAAAGAACTGCTCAACACTGGTTTTCTGTGAGGCCGTGTTATCGCTCTGGTCGAGTCGGCCCATTAGTGCCGTCGCATGACTCTCCCAAAGGCGGTGTAAGTCACTTTCCATCAGGTCCCCGTCTGTTCGATTTCCTTTATCATAAACAGAAACTATTAAGGTTTACGAAGTAACGTTTGATTTGCAAGAAGTGCGATTTTGGAAAGCAACTACCACGATCTAAAACTAAGACCTTTTCAATCACAGTAGCTTATTTTATGTTTTAGGTTATGCAAAATTGTAAAACAAATTTAGTAGGTAACAAGTTACCTTTTATCAAAAGTATAATCATTATTTTTTACATATCCTATGAGTTCGGTTATATTCGGATAGAAACGTCCAAACAAAGTAAATTCACATTTTAACACTACTAGGTTATTAAAATAAATTGCATAAGAGTAATGGTCTGGACTGGCCTTGCTCCACAGATTGCACAGCTTACTGTGAATTATCATTAACCATTAGTACATCAATTATATCATTTAGCCAAATAAACTGGGGTGCTGCGTTAATTTATGAAATCAATTCAAGTTTCTAAAGTTTATGGTAGTTTATTTGCACAATATTTTATTTGGTTTTGATAATAATATAAAAACCAAGATTATATTCCAAGATTCATCATTAATTGAATGATTTCATTTATACACCAGTGAAGTTAGACCATACACTATAAAGTATTGGTGAATTTCATTCCTGTGCATGAATTGAAAATATAATTTTTGTTCTGGCCATACGTATTTGGCTGCATTTCATTATGTATTTATGTGTGGGTAGGTGTACAAGTTTCTTTTCATAACTGCCTTTTCCCAAACTAGGTTGGAATCGGCTTTAAGTCTTACTACGATACGGCTGAACTTCGATTTTTTGCGCGGTCGACTGCAATCAGACCTCCATGACCAAAGTACGAATATCAAAGTTCTGTAAAAAGACTGATGTTGGACTTTTTAAGGCTCCAACTACACGTAACGATTGCCACAGATGTTTGTATGGCAACCGGGACCGGCGGCTTAACGTGCTCTCCGAGGTACGGAGGGTTCTCAATGTGTTAAGAATGGTCACCCATCCATAGACTGACCTGACTGTGATTGCTTAACTTTACAAAGTATTAACCTGTTTGGCTACCACTTAGCCACGAACTCCAAGTAGGTGTAGGGAGTTGGTGTAGTACAAGTATGTGTATATATTATTCATTCATTGAATTTCTCCATACTTGGCTTCTTACTTCTTTTTAATTTAAATTTATACTTCTGTAAGAATAATTATAAGTATTTTAGTATTCAGTGTAACAGTACGTATAATAGTAATAAGAATGTATTACGTTTCGTAGTTTTGATTTTCAGACAAAATGAATCAATGCCTTGTCGCGCGTCGTGACGTCGACATCTAATTTAATTTAATCGGCAGGAGAACGGCTCTTGCTTCCCACGACATTTGAACTTGGCAAATGTCATCCCACAACTACCTACAGTTACCATTACATCCCATATTTGTGAATACGCTCGCGTCAATTAAGTATTCTACTACTGCAGTGTAAACAATGTTAAGATTCAAATTACCTGCTACTTTTTGATGAAATTTTGCATGTGGTTCTAAATTCTCAATCGGTAGTTGACATAAGTCTAATTACATAATCTAAAATTATAAAACCTCTCTCCCCACTGGAACTTGTAAAGTACCTGTAATGTGTTGCCTGACGAAAGTAAATTACCAAATTATTTTACAAGTAAGAACTTCCATACAAATAACCGGGGTAGTCTTCTGTAGTGTTCTTGCCAGGATATGACTATACCCTCTTTTTTTTCCGTGCGGAAATCCCCTCGGATACCACGTGTCGGTGGCATGTCAGACTCGAACCGACTAAAACCGCACGCCGTCTCGGGTACTAATAGCCGGGGAACCAGGTATACCCTAGAAAGGAAGTCCCTGGTGCCCCGACATACCTCGGGCCATCTACAACAAGGATATGACTATACCCTAGAACTGCAGTGTGCAAATTAGAAAACTATATTTATTGATTTGTTTTCTTGTGCAAATGTTAAATTGTTTAATTCAAACCTGTCGTTGATAGAGTAAAGTTATCTTTCTTCTTTCTTTTTTTTTTGTTATCTATACTTACTACTCAATTATTTATTATCAAAAGGATTCGGGACAGCATCTTAAAAAGACCTGAACACCCACCTACACCCACGGATCCGATAAAATTGACAAACTTTGGGCATGGCAGAACTAATTCTTATTATGACAAAATTGTGGCAAAGTCAAAGACATACCTACTAGGTTTTGAAACCAGAAAGGAACTGACTTTTTCACCAAAACTTGACAACGGGCGCTGACATCACATTCAATCGATTCATCAATTCTATGAAATAAATTATTAGTAGTTTTAAAACGTCGTAATAAATTTCTATCCATATTCTAGTAATTCATATTTATAGGCCCTCTTATAACAACCAATTAAAAAAGAAACAAATTTACGGTAAAATAAAAATGTGATTGCAGGTATTGACGCGAGATTCTGTGACAGTGGCAGTGGATGCAGTTGTCTACTATCGAATCAAAGAGCCATTAAATGCCGTTGTCAGAGTTGCTGATTATAGGTAGGTATCTTAAATATACTTTTAGTTATAGACTTCGGGTTAGGACTAAAGTCAAAATCATTTTATCAATTTAAAGCTCAGTGTTAGTGTAATAAAATATTGTGTGAGTGTTTAATAAATAACCTAACGAGTAAAAGAACTTATTAATAGTAACAACGAACATCATCAATGATACAATGATCATCATCATCATAGATTAAGAATGGAATTAGTACTGGTCCAGAATACATAAGAGAGTTAACGATTTGGGAGCACTCCAATGACAGAACTATAAAAACATACAGACGAATTGAGAACCTCCTTTTTGGTGTTTTGAAGTCGGTTAAAAAGAGAAAGCGTTCTCCTTAACACATTTTTCACCAGAAATGCTATAGTGTAATGGACTTAAAAGTTTTGCGTAATGGACTTAAAAGTTTAAAAAAAAAAATGAAATAAGTTTTTATTACTGGTGGTCGTACAATATTATTCTTACAAGTACTAATACACAAATACTATTTACATTAATATTTGTTATCCTTAGTTAGGTCTTTCTGTTCGGTTTATCTGTAGCAGCTTCTCGACTTCCATGCGCTTGATCCCTAGCCATTCGAGTCCACTTAGGACCCGCTATTTGTCTGAAGTTGTCTTCCAAACGTTTACACTGTCTCCCTTTATTTCTTTTGTCGCCCCCATACCACTCTATTATTATTTTGATCCATTTTTCTTTCTACGGGATTCGAAAGAAAAAAGTAACAGTTTTTACTCGTTGTTAAATTTTACTTTATTTTCTTTGATAATAAAAATTTCTGATTTTTCTTTTGATTTTATTGCAATGTGTACAATAACTATTTTTTTTTATAGTACAGGAGGGCAAACGAGCAGACGAGTCATCTGATGGTAAGTGACTACCGTCGCCCATGGACACCTGCAACTTAAGAGTCACAATTACATTGCCGCTCTTTGAGTTCCCCCAAGAATTAATTACTCACCAAAGTACAATACAAATAGATACTATAATATATGTAACTATCACTATCTTTTATATTCATATATATAACACTTTGATTTCCTTTTCTTATCTATTTCCTAATACACCAGCCCTATACCTCTTCCCCTTCATGTTTTCTCTCCATACCACGGTTGTCTGTAAGAGATTGCCTCTGAGGGATATCGCCGCCACTTGTACTTATCTAACCTAATTTAAGTTAATTATTGTACATTTGTACCTAGTGCACATTAAAGCGATATTATTATTAATTAAGGGGATAGGGAATGAGGGGGAGTATTCCAACCGCCGCCGGCCGCTAACCTCACTCAGCTCACTCGGTAATAATCAATGAACGAATTACTTGACATCGGTTTTCTGCGAGGCTATAATACTCGTAGCACTCAGCCGAACTTTCCTCGGGACGTTCTCATCGTTAATCAATCTCCGGCTATCTCAGGTTATATGTACATGTAATGTATGTATTTGGTTTGATAAATTTCAGTGCTTCAACTCGACTTTTGGCAGCAACAACGCTCCGGAATGTTCTAGGCATGCGTGATCTAGCACAATTACTGTCTGACAGAGAGGCTATTAGTCGACTAATGCAGTCAAGTCTAGACGAAGCCACAGAGCCCTGGGGTGTAGAAGTGGAAAGAGTAGAAATGTAAGTCTTTATTAAAGTGAGTTGTCATTGTAGTTTACTAGTGTTTCTACACTGTTGTGCTTCAACTGACAGATAGTATTTATATGCATATATGTAAATTAATGCATGTGTGTATGTATATTTGTGTATTTATTTATATAACTGTATATGTTACTTAAAACTTAATAAGTAAGGTAAGTATGTTTTTATTTTATATCTTTCTTTTTCAAAAATTATATCTCTAGTGGTCAACTTAATATAAAATCTTCAAATTTAGAAAGATACCTTGAAAAATATCATACTAAGCTCTGAATCAGTAGAAGCGTGTAGCCGGTCCCCTGGGCGCCGGCTCTCATTTATTTACTTGTTCATAACGTTTTTTTAGATAACGTCTTTCTAACAAACACAACTGTAAACTGCGGAAAGCACTGTCCGAAGATTATTTTATATTTATTTATTTTTCATGTAAATTGTTTATTTGTTGTTACAATGTATGGAGCAATAGCATTGCTACGAGCAGAAGTCATAAGAACCTACCACAGTTTATGAAGCTCATGTTACAAAAAGTCCATTGAAAGGCAAAAATCGAATTCCAGGTATTCTAGCAGCAGTCAATATAAAAGTTACTTATATCTGTTGTGAAGCGCAGGTCGTTCGTAATAGCAGATTTTGAGAATGTCTGTAATACATAGCGAAAGTTGGTAAAATAACTACAAAATCAACAAAAAAACATTAACGCACAAGTAACACGATAGAAACAATCAGAATCAGACCGCACAGATCATTCAAAAACTCAGTGATATTATAATTGTAGTGTTACAGTGTACTCAACTCAATATCATTAATAATTAATTAAATAATAAGTTATATCATTTAAGTAGTTTTTTTTTTTATATTGGCCTTTGATGACCCACTGCTGAACAAAGGCCTCTCCCTCCCGTTCCCATTTATCTCGATCTTAAGCGAGCTGCCACCAGTCCTTATGATAGGCATTGAGGTCCCTGACGATGTTTTCAATCAAAACAACCAATTTTTTACTACTGGCAACATTTTCTTTTGATTTGATTTCATTTCCTTGTTTTTAAACCGGGAGTCAATACTACAAGCTTTTAGGAAATAAATTATATCCTCGTAGAACCGGTAACTAATTATTTTGGAGTAGTTATTAAAAAAACGCCATTTATTTTGAATATAGACAGATTCCTGTAACAGGCCCAACTTCGCCAATCTCGAAACTACTGAACCGATTCTGATTTTTTTCCTGATTTGTAACTGCATTCCTGAGTGCTATAGGCTATAAATCATATTCATATCGTCCCTTTTAACGGGCGAAGTCGTAGGCGACAGCTGGTCTAAAATATTTTAAATTATTTAAACTTTTTGTTAATATCCTAAAGTCTGAAATTACTATGAAAAGAGTGAAAATGAATCAAATTTTGAGTATTTTCGAGACTGTATTTAGTTTTACTTAAATAAATAATTTATCTATTTCGGTTCACAGAAAAGACGTTAGACTACCAGTGCAGCTACAAAGGGCAATGGCTGCAGAAGCGGAAGCGGATCGCGAAGCACGAGCCAAGATTATAGCCGCTGAAGGAGAAATCAAAGCGTCGAGAGCTTTAAGAGAAGCATCCCTTGTAATGGTTGATAATCCTATGGCTCTTCAGGTAAAATATTCAACATAAACTTTTTTAGTTACCAAACAATAATTTTAAAGATAAACAACATTATAGATAATCATGTTTTCAGTATCGATGTGGTTGTAAAACTTTTTTTAAGATTAATGACAAACTGACTAATTTGTTTAACTTTTCGAATAAAATTAAATAGAGGTGTATTTTTTTTCAGCTCCGATATCTTCAATCACTCAACACAATCTCAGCGGAAAAAAACTCAACGATAATCTTTCCGTTTCCTTTGGATTTCTTAAGAACTTTTATAGGGGGACCAGGACCAAGTTCACAGCAACCAATTCAACATGTCACAGCAACAAATCAACATGTATAAAGACATATATGTACTTTTTAATTTATAAGATTTATTAAATCGTTGCAAATGTTTTTTTATTACAAAATATTTTTTTCTGTATTATACGTCAAAGAACGACAATGAAATTATTAAAAATCCTTTAACATGATACTTAGTTTAACGAAGGAAGAGATCTTTGAAAACTTACTGAAAATAACAGTATAAAGTTCAATAAATAATTTGAATTTGAATTCAAACATGGTTTATATGACATAATTTTCTGGGGAGTTGGCTATCCCGCAGACTACTTGATGAAGCAGCAAGTTCCAGGTTACCACGTCATGGAAACACAATCTAAAGTAGCAGTATACCAAATTTCAGTGGAGTTTAGTGAGATCCGTTGATCACTTAGGAAGTGAGCTGATGACCTTCAAAATTTATAGCTAAGATCCATCTCGATCACATCAGCTTTCGAACAAAAAAATCCGCATCGAAATTGGTCTCTCCGTTCGGGACCCATGATGCCACAGACAGACAGACAGATACACAGTTACCAACTTTTATTGTGTCCTGATAAACCTGATTTTTAAAAGGTTTTACACACTACTTTAAGACATTCGTTTAAAATATTTTACATGCTAATGTATACGAGTAAGATTTTTTTTAATAAAACCTGAAGACATTGAAGTACAAATAAGAGCGTAAAGGAACGCGAAGCTGAAGAGCGTATAAATTTATTTAGGAGATATATAGATATATATTGCGGGTTCTCGGTAGAAGGGGTCCGGATGTCTTACTAACAGCTGTTCCCGGATTCCTCCTATATCAGGCGCAGAGTGGCACACCGCGTGGTTTTAGTCGGTTCGGTTCCGACATATCGCCCCGTCACAAATCCTGGACGGGTGACGGCCCGAAATGGTTTCCACAGGAAAAAAAGAGAAGTAGTGGCTAGTGCTCCGTACGTAGTGTTTATTCTTTGATTTAAGACGCCACTAAGCCTGGGACAACCACTAGCCATATGGATCACGGAGTAGATATAGGTAAAGATTAACTGCAGCTGACTACACCAAATAGTGTTTCGTCGATGAGTCCTCACTGCCAAGGCCTCACAACAAAGTACGTATACCCTAGATAAGAAATCCTGCGAACTCTTTTTTATACCTCTTCTTGTTTGAAAATCGTAAACATAGGTGTCAAATAGCATAGAATAACAATATATATCATGTACTAATATATCAAATGTAAATATCAAAATAATCGATCTAAGTGGCGTGCAATGGGAGAGGCCTATGTCCTATGGGCCTATGTCTATGTATGATGATGATGAAATATCAAATTTATCCTATGATTAATTTCATTTGACAATTTAAATACGATTTGATACGACTCAACTAAGCAGTACAAAAATTATGTACTTTTTGTAGCTTAGCAGTAGTACTTAGTAGCTTTTAATTGAAAACAAAACTATAGAAAAGATAATTTATACCCATCAGATATGAGGTAAAGACCGATCACATAGTCAAACCGCCGTAAGCTTGGTTGTTTGCCGATGGTTTGCGGGACGCGCGTTGGGGTACGATCAACCAATCAGCTACTGTTTCGCTCGCTGTCCGCCGCATAGATAAAACCTTAAACATTATAAACCAGAAAGTCCACCGACAGTGACTGACATGAAAGCGTGGCCGCACGCGTTATTTTTCTTAACACTGCTTCACTGCTGCTGCACACTGCTGCTGACTCTGCGTCACACAAGGATTCGGATTAATTTTTATTTTTTTACAAAAAGTTACCTAATGATAATTAACACGCTTTTATTAATTTGACATGTATGTGTGTGTAAATAACGAACGTGAATCGAACGTGATTTTGACTTCAAAACGTCGAATTAAATTGAAACTTTACATACTTGTCAAGGACCGATGACCGATTAGGACTAGGACATAGGCCTCTCCTTAGAAAGGAGGTTTTGGCCTACTATACCACGCTGGCCAGACGGGTTGGTATAGGGTTTGTGTCAAGTTTTCCTTCTCTCTGCAGTACTGTTGTTCTGCTGGGTGGTGACACTCTGTATTCTTAATCCGTCACCACACGGAGTAGTAGTTAGTACCGATGTACTAGCAGGCAAAACGGTATCATTAAAGATGATGTCAAAGATTTCGGTCTGCACATCGATGCGACTCTGAACTGGCAAACTCAGGTAACTAACGTCAGAATTACTGTAAATTTATATCTGGTGTACATTAAAGCGATATATTATTATTATATATTTATGATCTTTACTTTACACACAGCTGACTAACTGTTCATAAACTTACAAATTCTATGTATCCAAACAATAGAGCGTTTTTATTAAAAGTAAAAATTGATAGACGTTTAGGTTTATGTCCTGTCATGCACAATTGTGTACTTAAGTGTTTATTATGATTAAACTCTCAATATTTACTCAAATTTTAGTGTAAACAATGTCGGAGAAATTAGAAAGAGTTATGATATCAGAGCCCGAGGATTTATCGAGTATATATATATATTCCTAAATGATTATATTGAGTCATTCATTAGGTCTAAAGCAACACCTAAATGCAAGATATAATACATATTTATAAACTTTTCTAGGCACATCATCAAGTGCTAAATCTACTATTGCGGAAAATATATTTATAGTACTGTCTATTTTGGGAGTAATCATTTGTCCTTTATTGCTGATAGTCTGCTTCCGGGTGAGCTAAATTAGGCACAATATAATAAATTAGATTTTACACTCATTCTTAAATCATCGTATTAACAAAACTTAGCTTTGATTGTGGATACTTACATTTAAAAAGTTCTTCTTATAGTATAAAAAATAGTTTGAGAACCGTATGTATAACGTAAGTGTAACCGAAACCGTATGTAAATTGGGACTAATCCCACACACACGCCCACCACTGTAACTCCTGTACACCAGGATCCACAGCATTGACCCACGAACACACCGAGTTATGAAACTCGGGAAGTCGCAGGAAGAAATTAAACTGTCTTGGAACCCGCAACGAAATTAATCAGAATGTAATTGGAGGAGTTGGAAATACAGTAAATCAACTTCCCTCCTTAGCAAAGCGAGAGACAAATATGTATTATGTAACGTTACTTGGATTGGTCGAAGTCAAAAACTTCCTAGAGATGAAATATTATTGAGCTTTCGAGTACAAATCAACCATCTTCCTAATTAAAAGGACCTTTTGTCATCTTTAATTTTTCTGATCTTTATTTCAGGTAGTAAAACAATACAAAAGAGCTGTAGTGTTACGTTTTGGTAAAGTGAGAGCAGATTCACCAGCTGGTCCAGGAGTAATATGGGTCTTGCCATTCACAGATGAAGTTACTATTATAGATCTTAGAACACAATCTTTCAATTTGCCACCTCAACAAGTAACATTTTCAACATTATTCTCTGAAATCTCGGTCTAAATAGAGTGACAGTTGACAAAATTAAGTTTTGCCAAAATAAATTACATAATTATGAAGGCCAATGATAAGAAATTCTAGAAATAACTGTAACCTGATTAGGTGGAATTGGCAATTTCAAAAATGTTTTTTTTCGTTTTTTCTAGTATCAGTACAGCTGTTATAGGGGAATGACGTACTTGAATAATAAAAGGTCAAAACACAGGCCATTTTTGCGATTTCGTGTTCGGAAAGTAGAAGACTTCAGAGTAATGAAGATGGTCCCTATTGTTTTTTAGGAGTCCGTTTCGATTGCTCCTCCACGTTATCAAAACAGAAAAAAAACTTCGACAATTTTTTTTCAAAATATGTCAAAATCGAAGGGAGCAAACCAAAAATTTGTCAAAGTTTTAGGCTGGCCGCGCGAATGAAACGTCTACGATTGCGCAGCCACGGAGATCTCAGCAACGACTTAAGTTAGAGATCTAATTTATTTCAGTCAGTTTAGTCAAAATAAGGGGATTGATCTCGGAATCTAACGGTATAAGCTGAATTTTTGTAAAAACCTTTATTTTGATAGAACAAATGTTGTCTCAAAAATCACAAATGGTCACGTGTTGGTGTCCTTAAATATTCAAGGCCCCAAAAATTAGTTTTTTGAAATTATCTTGTTTCCTTCTCAACCGTAGTTAAATTAATCTAAAATTTGTTAAGTGTTGTGTTGAAGATAATCTCTCTCAGAATTTTTTCCGCCTAAATTGAGGAACGGATTGCACAGCAACGGATAAAAAATAAAACAGCAGGATCCTCTTAAGCCTATCAGCCTATTTTATGACATAATTATGTCATCAGACTTACGGCTTAGGCTTACGACGGCTTAACATCCTTACAAAAAAGATGTAAATTTGAAGGTGATGGATACGGATGAAAAAAAATATATTTGAAGTAGAAAGGAATATTGTGGTTTATATACAGTGTTTTTATTTTATTTTATGACGATGTGCTGCAATAACGCAAATAAAAATGCGAGTAAAGCACAGAGACTGCATCATACCGCCAGTACGCAACAGTGCTTGACCAAGTCGGATGTCGGCCGTCGCCATCGCCCGCCGACGACGACAATTTGTTTACTGTGACAGACGGTTAATGTAATCAGATGATCATGTAAATTATCGATCTTAGTTCTGGCTTTTTATTTCAGATTCTTACGAAAGATTCAGTAACCGTTACAGTTGATGCGGTCGGCTACTTTCACGTAATGGAACCTCTTCAATGTTTATTAAACGTCCAGTATTATAGGTAAGTTTATTTTAAAAACCTTTGGTGTTTACATTTGATAATCAGTGGGAGAGGTCCTTACGTCTCTAGCCGATTATCAATGTCAATTGTATAAGGGAACATTAAAACCAGTAATACTCAAAACCATGAAGTAAATTATTTGAATAAATGAGTTCTTCTTGATAGTGCAAAAACAATCAAATCAATAAAAATTACATACGGGACTATCCGATTTTTACGAAAAATAATGACCGGCTTCTGAATAACTGCATTCGATTCGTCTTCAACCTTCGCAAATACGACCATGTCTCCTCCTTTCGTCGCGAATTGAACTGGCTCATTATTTACTTATACTTCCGCTTGTATCCACTCCTCGTTCCTAATTCAATCCGAACTCTTCTGAACCGCTCTCCCTCTAGAAATCAGGATAGCACCCAGCCGCCTCTCATTCAAGATGAAAGTTAGAGCTCGCATTCTAGACACCCTAGCAGATTAATTACAACCTTAAAGTTTAATATATTATTAATATGTAGGTTTATTTATTCATGTAACTAGGTAAGAATTTATGTATGTGTATTTATTTAGTACGTATGTATGTTTATCGCATTGTTTCTGTCTAACTTATCAATAATTTTCTTTTACTTACATATCATTTACTTTACATATTATTGTCTGGTACACCTACTCACAGATTTCAGCACCACCCTAAAGTAGACTGGGAGAAAATGCCTGCGGCATTAAGTGCGCCATTGTACAACTCATACTTGTGCATAAAGAATTTAAAAAATAATAATTAAAAACCTTTTATTTACTTTTATTACAGACGTTCGACGGAATTAATAACAATTGCTGTGTTGAGAAATGTTCTTGGCCAATATACGTTAGCAGACGCTTTGACTAGCCGTCAATCCATGAGTACCAGAACCAAATTTGAGATTGACGCGATAATCTCTGATTGGGGGATTCACATCGAAAGAGTGGAAATGTATTTTCTTTTTTATGTTTACGTCATAACATTATTAAAGTAGTCAACAATTTATTGCTTCAAATTTCAGGCGATTTCATAAAATTATAGCTTACTATTAGACGGGCCATATGAAGTGCAACAAAGTGATGTGTGTAGTAGTGTATGAATCTTGGTTGCTTTTGTAACTTCACACAGTTAAAAGTGGAAAAAAAAAGATGATGTGACTATTAATAGTCCTGTATCCTGGTTTAGTATGTAAAGACTTTTAATCTACAGCCTGCCCTCGTGTGCCCTTTTCTAATTCCAATCAAAACTATTCAATTATATTTTACATCACCTCTATCTCCTCACCGCCACGCCGCAAACCCCAGTGGGGTGACGGCCACAGGGCTTTTTTTTTAACGTGTGGGTTTCCACACGTTAAAAAAAAGTATGTCAAGGTTTTTAATCTACAGTCTGCCCTCGTATGCACTTTTTAAAATTCCAATCAAAACTATTCAATTTTATTTTAAATCTGCAATTGAAACATGACTTTTTCAGAAAGAACATATTATTACCATTTGATCTACAAGAAGCGATGGCTGTAGAAGCTGAAGCCACCCGTATAGCGAAAGCAAAATTAATTGAAGCCGCAGGTGAAATACAAGCAGCTGTAAATCTTCGCGAAGCCTCTAGAATAATAATGGAGAATCCACAAATCATGCTGGTAAAAGTGATGAATTATTTGATTAATATACCGTTTTAAAAGGGGTTGAAATCGTAATTCTCTTGATTTAACTACTCAATGTATAAAAAGAGTAACTAATGATGATGACGAAGAAAAACTTGTAACAGAAGATAATTAAATTGTAACAACAAACTTATAGCCTCAACTTTAATCACTTATGCATGTTTTTAAAGCAATATTTTAATGTATTTCTTTTAGTTGAGATATCTGCAATCTTTGAACTCCATAGCTTCACGACAGAAAACATCAATTATTTTCCCGTTTCCAATTCAAATCCCTGAACCACTTGGACAAGATCAATTCCCGAACACAGTTCATCAAAATACAAATGAATTACTAAATCAACTGAAAAATGACCTTCAGGCAGATAAATGTATGTGTTTTTATTTCAGTACATGTTTTTTAAGTTTTCGTATTTCACTTATAGCTACTCCATATTCGTCCGTTTGTCTGTCCAGACTATCAATGGTTCAGCTCAGAGCGTGATCTGAGTACAAGACAACTGTCATTTAACTATAATAATCATTAACTCCTGCATAATTTTCTTCTTTAGTCGGTTCTTAGGGGCAATTAATTAATTACGTAAGGGTGATTTTCACGATTTTTGACCCCCGCCCTCCTCCCCTACCTCCATGTAAGGATAATTAAGATTTCTCGAAAACACCCCCCCTCCCTCTTTTCAATCAATCTCAATTTTTCAATCTCGTTTTTCTGAATAACAAAACGATGTTAGAAAAGGATCAGTTACACTAAAACTCACAGTTTGACGTAATCAAAGATTTTTATTTTTTAGCAGATAATTTAGGTTATACTTTATTTTTGTTAACCCCCTCCCAAAGATAAGGGCGTGTATAGATTTTCTTAACCTCCCTTGGGGGAGGGGATACGTTATTAATGATTGGCCTCTTACGACACCCATGGGATGAACAGGGATGGTGACTCTCTGTATTTTGAAACCGACACCGCACGGAACACACACCAAATGGCCAACAGCACTGCAAAGAGAAGGAAAACTTGAAACATACCTTTGCTTTTTATTACGTGTGTAAACCCCCTCGGGCCGTCATCCGTCCAGAAATTGACTATTAAAGGCTTACTATGATGATGATGATCTTCTTTGACTTTCTAAGTCCCGTCTTTTTTACTTTCCCTACTTATGAAGCGGGAATGACTGTTTATTTTTATCCCATATCATTTTTATAATTAGAAACAAACTTATATGGAAAGTTTCCTACACTGATGTTGAAAATTTCTTAGATACAGCTACTATGGAATCCACTGAACACACAATCTTTTATTTAGAGGCGTGTTACTTAATTTTTACTCTTTGTGTTTTTGTGTATGTCTTAATAAAATATTTTTTCCATAACTATGCTCTCGTAGTACATAAATGTATTTAATCCAATAAATTTATAGACAATTGAAGAGATAAAAGCATATGCCTTATGTGGTTAATGTATTCTGATTTAAATTAGACGTGTGGTTTAGTTCCAGAAAACCTTCTCCAAGCTGTACCGGATGAAAGAGGTGAAGTCGCTGTCTAGCCGTGTTAGCTTAGGAGGAAACAAAGTGTCTCTTCTCAACCATCACAATTTTGTTCATGAAGAGTCTAGATGAAATTAAGACCTACATTATTAATTAATCACTAATCTGACAAACACTACTTATGTCGCTCGAGATCCGAATTAATGCATAAAAGCATAAATTTGATGATGAGTTCAAAATTTACGTCATCAAATTTTTGCAAGGCAGTAAACGGGTGATAAATAATAGCAACTCAATAGTAAAAGTATAATATACTTATCACATTGTATTTGTTCCTTTCCTGCGCGAAAGTTCACTTTAGATGATAAAAAAGGTGTTTAAAACCCTCACGTGGCGTGATCAGCGAAGGGATCATGTACATGAATCCAACGGCCATAAACACCTGTGGCAGAAAAACCAACCTCACGATGTATTGCTATGGGTGTCTTTGGCCAACTCAGGTAAATCTAGAAAGGAATTCCGTGAAAGCTCTAAGGACTTCAAAACCCGATAATATGACAGCCTAGAGGTGAGGTTCAAATCTGACTCTTCTAGGATTTAGAGAGATCAAAAATTTGGCGCACGTCAATTCCTCACAACATTACAAGAACTTCTTAAACCGAAATTTGATCTTTATTTTAAACGTTAAGCCTCTCAAAGTCTTTCATAAAAGTTATATTTATAATATTTGTGTCTACTTTGAAGTAATATTTAGCGCCATAAGAAAGGTCAGAATTATTTCACAAGTATGGCAGAAGTATGAGCTTCTCTTCGGTAGAACACTGACAGAGAACATCGACATTTTATATGAATCTTAATATTACTCCTAAGCCGTACGTCTGCCAGAAAAGCATAAAGCAAAATTGCGCTACCAAGAACTAGAAATGATCAAAAAAGCATAAGGTACTCAACGAGTTTTTTAGTATATAAATAATAGGTAGGTTATATATATAATAGGTTCAGATATATCAGATAATGCAACTGCCTTTTATTAAATATTGAAGGAAATTTATATTCTTAATAGTTTCTACGGAATCAGTCACAAATAATTAACATTAAAATAATGTTCAAAATATACAAGTAACAGATTATCTTTGGTCAAACCGGGTACAGCTGATAAGCTATACGAGTATAATTGTTTTTTTCACTTTTGTGTTTAAAGATATAAACAAAATGAAAATGGCAAAATCTCTGCATTGATTCTATTAGCAGTATAGGGCCCATAAAAAACTTTCCAAAACGTCATTGGTATTCATACTATAAATTTATGGTTATATCTTCAGCAGAAAAGTAATAAAATAGTCAGACATCTGTCTCTAATAATATTACTGTACTCTGTGCATCTATGAATGTTCTATTTTCATAACGATAATCGGCAATGTCATAAAAGCGATATAATATTTTCATTCTCTTTTCCAGTTCATGTATCGCCATAGGAGATTATAATAAATGAGGTATTCGATATGATTGTAATAAATACACAAAAGTTTATTATATTATATGTTCCTTTGTAACAATGTCCACTCCTGTGTCAATACAACAGTCATTTGTGATTGAAAACGAGAATTATAATGAGGCACACAGATCAGAACAACTCAATCTACAATTGATGCGAACTACGACGGCTCCAAAAGGTAATCCAAGAATGCCCTCAAATTTTGTATTAAGTAAAGCTTTAAATAAGTTTTTGTTAAAATTTTAAAATAACGAATAAAAAAATATATGCGTTCCTTTCTTTGTGTGGAAGTGCTACATCACTTATTTAACTAAAATAGCTTCTAATGGTACTGAAATCTACTTGTGTTATTAAATTGTATATATAACAATATGTGAAACCTTGGCCCCCTTTTAACTTTTGACCTTCATCGCGTTTTCGAAGGCAACCAAAAAAGTATCTTTAACTGGCGCTTTATTCACCTTTTACAGAAAACTCCATCGTCGAAACCGTGCTTGTTGGTTTGTCAATCCTCCTGCTTGTTCTTCTTTTCCCACTTTCTCTGTTAGTCGTGTTTGTGGTAAGTATATAAAAAAAAACAGAATCATTCTTCTACGTTTTTTTAAAAGGTTTAAAGCACATTCTGTACTGGGAAAATCGGCTTGATTTTATGTTTGTAAATTTTGCATGTTATATATTATTGCAAAAATATACATTAATTTCATCAAACAAATTAAATCTTATGTATGCAAAATTTAATGTTATGTATGCCGCGGCAGATCCATGCTTTGTGACATATTGGCTGGCTCGCCTGGAGTGATATCACGGTTCATTAGTGAAGTTGTCAAACCTTTACGATTATACTAACGAGTAAAACAAATGCCTTTTGCTAACAAAAAGCAGAACATAGATTACACAAATTATAATCACTAAAATATCAATCTTATTATCAACAGAAAGTAAGACAATTCGAACGTGTTGTGATCTTACGAAATGGAAAGCTGCGACATCGCGAGACCTACGGTCCCGGTTTAATTTTTTACCTACCATGTATTGATTCATTGAAGTTTTTAGATCTAAGAGTGATTTGTCATTCTGTTCATCCTCAAGAGGTTAGTGTATTCTTATATAAAGTAATAAAATCCTTATATAGTTTATTATTTTGTCTAGTATTTTAATTAATAGAATTAAAGTTTTTCAGATAGTAAATAATTCTTCTGAAAGGAGTTATATCCCTACGCTACTCTCTTTCCTCGAACAGGGAGATCATTTAGTTGCCACTGTAAACATAATTTGGTTAATAAAATCGAGGCCTTCTGTAATGTAAAATATATCTATATGTCTGTTCATAGGATTCGCTCTAAATCATTATTGATCAAGTGGAAAATTATAATATTTAAATAATAAATAAATAAATCGCATCATCAGCGTGATGTATGGATAGATAGATAACTCTTTGTTTTTACATTACTCGTATTACAGTAAAGATATCATATATCAACAGGTAGAGAATTCCAGGCAACCTTTGAAGGGAGCAATGAGATTATATGGGACAGAGGTTGGGACTAAAAAAAAACAAAGTCATGCAGATATTCTGTAGTTTAAATTATGTATACCAATACGTAACTATATACATATTTAAATTATGTGTATTTACATAATGTATAGGTATAGTAAAGTCAAGGGTCATAAATGCAGTAGCACCTTAATGTTCATATTCGCACGCCAGTTCGGTGCCTATCTCTGTGTGTGATGTTATAATGCACACATATTATAACCAGATAATAGAGACATATAATGTTGGTTGGTCACATGCATGTGTGCACAACACTAGATAACTAGACACCTATTTATACATTTAGTTTATATTTCACTTCCAGTGGTAGCACCTATTTGAAAGCGATGCTAAAATTCAACACAGGAGGCATTAGAACCAGTAGCATAGTAGTACGATTAGCTTACTTGCATTGTTTGCCTGATGGCAACTGGTGACTGTCCGAGCCTCAGTGCCTGATCACTTTTTGAACTTTTTTTTTCATGTCTAGATATTTTTTGAATTCTGGTACTTTAAAATGACTGTAAGTTTACGGAAAAAAGGTTTCTACCTTTTTTCCGTAAACAAATATGTAAAAATTACATATGTATAAATAAATATATATGTAAAATTAAATATGTAAATATGTAAAAATTACATATTCTTATGTAATTTAATAATAAAAAGTTGTTATTTTTTATCAGATAATTAATTTATATGATTATCAATTTTTTAAACAAACTAAACGTTAAAAAAAAACACATTTAAGTTTTATTTTCATAAACTATTTCGGTTGCTTATTACAGTTTTTTCTTGTTGTTTATAGAGGTTGACAGTTTAATTTGTTCATATTCTCAAGAAAAAGAAGATTGAAACTTAACCTCTATATTACAATCATAAACTAACTTTATTACTATTACAGCCAACGCATTCCCTAAATTGTCCCAAAAAAAGGTATTTCAATTTAAATATAATATTTATTTTTATTAATACTTAGAGTGACCTATATAGATTGTTTATAATACAACTATGAAGACGTTGACGCATAGAAGCCACTCAACACCATACGTATTCTATGCGGTTGGGATCAGGGGATAGCGCTGGCCATGGAATAACCTTCGAATTTTGACGAAACCATTCACTAATAATACCAGGATCGTGTATCTAGTCATCTTGAATAAAATAAATTCACTAAATTCTTCCACGGGATGAACAGGTAGCACACGCCACAGTAGGTAGTTTTATGTAATTCAAAACTTTGACCTACTTGAAGTCTAGTTGGTTTGGAACCATTTATTTCAAATTCATCTTCCATTATGCGTCGCTGAGACTGGAGTAGGCCAAAATCTCCTTTCTAAGGAGAGGCCTATGTTCAGCAGTGGTTATAGTGAACTGTTGATGATGATGAGACTGGTTAACAAGTTTCGACTGGTTAATATTAATTTATTATTATTTATTAATATTATCAAAATCGGTCCAGCCGTTTTGAAGATTACTCGAACATTATATAGTTTTTTTTTATTTAAACTGGTTTTTAGGCATAGATATCGTTACGGAGCGCCGATATGTGCAAAGCGCTTATCGGCCTCCTCCCGCTGCCAAGCTAAGCTCAATCAAGCGCAGCGGGTAGCGGCCATTCGGATCGTACGGGGATACCGCACCATATCGTCGGAGGCAGCGACAGTCCTGGCACGTTTCCCGCCTTTTGATATCCTGGTGGTGACGGATTAAGAATACAGAGTGTCACCACCCCTATTCATCCCGTGGGTGTCGTAAGAGCCGACTAAGGGAGCAAGCTACGCAGGACAACAGCACTGCATAGAGAAGGAAAACTTGATACAAACCCTATACCAACTGGCCAGCGTGGTATAGTAGGCCAAAACCTCCTTTCTAAGGAGAGGCCTATGTCCAGCAGTGGACTATTAAAGGCTGTTGATGTGTGATGTGATATCCTGGCGGATATGGACGCGAGGGTCTACCATCAGACTCGCGCGATCCGCCGGGGTGAGAGCGTGAACGACCAGGACGAGCTCGAAATGCGGCGAAACGCTCACCGACAGGCACTGGCGCAGTGGCGCGCGCGGTTGGAACACCCGCGGAATGCGCGCCAACGTGCTGTCGGTGCCGTCACGAAGCTTGGGTAGGTATGTAGGTAGGTAGGTAGGGAGGGAGGTCGCGTCACCTACCGACTGACGCAGGTGCTCACTGGACATGGCTGCTTCCGTGAGTACCTGACTCGGATTGGACGCGAGGAGACGGCACAATGCCAGCACACGCTGGAAGACTGCCCCGTGTGGGCGTTTTAACGCGAGTCCTGGTCGATGAAATCGGACGAGACTTGTCCCCGCCAGCAATCATTACTGCCATGCTGGCGTGTGAGGAGGGCTGGGGCGCAGTGGTCTCTTTCTGTGAAGCTGTAATACTCCAGAAAGAGACCGCTGAACGGGATCGGGAGAGGGCCGATCCCGAGCGAAGAAGACGTCGGCGGCGGAATAAGCAGCCGACGGGACCGCGGGCCGCCAGAGAGTGGGGATCTCTGGTGGCAGATTGATTGCTGCGGTAGGGCTAGGATGGCAGCCTGATCGCACTGAAAATGTGATCGGGCCGCAACATCTAGAAAGGCTGAGAGGCAGGGAGAAGCCACTGGCTTTCAGTGACCTGGGGCCTAGTTCGGTGCGGCGTCGATCTGGGGGGACCTAAAATCACATGGCCCGGGTTCTCTCCAGAGCAGGGCGCCTAAGGCTGACCGTCGGTGTGGTTTTTAGTGGAATCACCACATACTCCTGGCTCCTATATCCCCAAAGAGCCGGAGATCCGAAGGGATTTTCCACTCCGATAACAAAACAAAAAGGCATAGATATCAAGATAATGACCGAGTAATCATGAAAATTACCTATTATTTTGAAATTACAAAGAGACACTTCATTTTATAGATATGTGTGTATGGGTGTGTGATATACGTTAATAGAAGAAGGTTATAAGTCCCACTAGTTATAATGCTAAAAGTGGACTGTCCGCAACCGTATATAAACTTGTTACAATGTCCAACAAGCATACTGCATTAAAACAAGACAACAGACACAACAGACAGATTTGAGTGGACTGACATTTCAATATAAGTAATATAACTTCGTGATACCTGGTAAAACAACTTCTGTGGATGTGTACTTGGAATAAGTGTAAATAATGGTATTTGTTTAAAAAAATTGTCTAGTCCACTCCTTTAAAGCAACTCTTGGCAATACTTCGCATAATGTTACTTTAGTTACGAATAGAAAACCTGCCTCACCGATGGTACTCAGGCCTCGTTCTAATCGCTTTCATTGTTTTTAGATAATTTTTTATTGCAAAATAAAAAAAAAATCAAAACAGTTTGTTTTACATTAGAAGCAATTTCGTCTTTAAAAATCTTACAAATTTACTAAACTGTACTAAATATACTATGTAAAAATATTTTATTTTCTTTTTTATTATACAGTATTACTTTCAAATTTGTCTTGATTACAGACTCTAACTAAAGATTCTTTGTCGATGACTGTCGATGCAGTTGTATATTACAAAATTAAAGACCCAATACTGGCAGTAATGAGAGTCACTGATTACAAGTAAGTAAGACGTATTATATTTAATAAGATTTAAGCATTAGAAAAAAAATGAGCCATCACGGTACGTCTGGCAGATGTGAAACATCGAAATTATTTTGTAGTTAAGCAGTCACCGGTGTAACTTGAGCTATCATTTTATAGTTTTTATGAAATGATTTTTACAAAAATAAATGCCGGACTCCTACAGTTTTCATCTTCAGCCTATCGCAGTCCACTGCTGGACATAGAGCTCTGCATTGAACGCCACTTAGATCGATTTACGGCTCCTTGTATCTAGCTTCTGCAGGCCATCTTGCGCAAATCGTCATTCGGCCTGGTCTGTCCTATACTACGTTTGCTTAGACGCAGTCTCTACCCAAGAACTCGCTTACCCCAATGGTTGTCGGTTTTGCTGCTAATACGGCCAGCCCAGTGCCACTTTAGCTTGCTAATCCGATGGGCAATGTCGATGACTTAGGTTCTGTGCCGGATCACCTCATTCCTAATGCGATCCCATAGAGAACCGCCGAGCATAGCTCTTTCCATAGCACGCTGAGCGACTTTAAGCTTATGAACCAGCCGTACCGTAAGTGTCCACGTTTCGGCTCGGTATGTCATAACGGGTAGGGCGCACTCATTGAAGAATTTCGTCTTTTAGACTGGCAGCTAGCGACAGAAGTTCAACACCGATTTTCTCACTCATGCCTCTCAGAGTATTGAAAATATTATCAGAGATAAGTAGAAGCAATGTAAAATTGAGCGGTGCCCGCGGGGCCAAATGTTTATTTATTTGTACCATACTATACATATATTTTCAAATTATTTTTTATTTTGCAAATAATTTTTGCTTTGTTGTACAATATCTCAATTATGCATCTATCGTAAAACGATAGTTAAGCACCGACTAAATGACTGATGAACTAGACACAATTGCAGCAAGGGATCTAATCTAACAATTTCACCCTTCAATATTTACATATTGAAGGGTGAAATTGTAAAAAATGTAGTTGGAATTTTGTTTGGAATTTTGGATGTAAAAGTTTGGAATTATTAAGTAACAGTTTAGAATTATTCACCTACACGGTCCATTAAAAATATTAGCATAAGTGTTGAGAAGGACTGAAGGATTCCGGTTCTGAGAAATTTGATAACAATGTTTACCTTGGTTCTGTGATTTTCACACTTATGCTAACTATGTGATATTTACGATGAATTTAATACATCGTTTTATCGGCATAACGATCTAGTGGATCTTCACTGAAGGCATAAGTCATTAAGTTTTAAAAAACTTGTCCGAACATTGTCAATTTTCTCACTCATACCATTTTGCATGTTAGTAGAAAATAATAATAAAAGTCCAATCTGAAAAAGGCAAAAGTGCCACAAGGAGCTTTATTAAAAAAAAACCCAGAAAGTTACAAAAAATATGGTAAGATTCGAAATTTGTAAAATTATCACTATTATTGTTAAGTCAAAATTTATATCATAGCAGACTGATTTTTCCTAATCGTACACCCAGCTGACGTACATAAAAATTCTTACTACCATGTCAATTATCATTCAATTAATTTTCAAAGGAGATGAAACAATATGTTAGTTACCGTTATGCGGCACTACATGGATCTAACGACGATTGGATGGCGTAGTGGTTTGTGTAACGGACTGCTATTCCAAAGGTCGCGGGTTCGATTCCCGCTCAAGTCAAACATTTGTGTGCATGAACATTTGATGTTTGATTTGGTCTGGGTGTTTCTATGTATAATATATATGTATTTACAAAAAAAAAATATATGTATTTATATCAGTTGTCTAGCACCCATAGTACAAGCTCTGCTTAGTTTGGGACTAGATGGCGTTGTGTGAATGTGGTAGAATATATATATAACAGTGGCTGGCACACTCCGTTACTAGTAACGCTTGTAATATGTTAGAAAATTATTCAATTTTTTCCCACCCTGGGCTAAAATATGTGATGACCACAATGATTTATTGTGTGCCTGGGTGTTATTTACCTATAATATACGTACGTACCTTATAATAATATGTCTATGTATGTATGGGTCGTATTACCTTATTACAGGCTCTGCCTAGTTTGGTATCAGAAGGCGTGTAACAGACGGCAGTATGTGAGATGTGTCAAGTTACTCTTTAGTAAAGTGTTACAACAAAGTACTATTGTAGGAACTTTTCATAATCGTTAAGTATATAATTAACAGACATTCAACACAATATATAGCGGCGACAACGCTTCGTAATGCCATCGGTTCGAAAAAGCTTTCAGAAATTCTCAAAGACAGGCGTGCAGTAAGTCTTCAAGTGTTCGAAAGCATGAGAAATATGACGCACAACTGGGGAGTTCAGGTTTTACGAGTGGAAATGTAAGATATTAACTTTTATATGTTACCATATATGAAAATGTTTTTTTTTTTTGCAAGACGCTTAGGAAAGATATCTCTTTAGATCTGAAATCTATATGCAACTAATTTATAAAAATATATTTTTGCCAAGAATTCAAGGCGTCGTCGAATTTAAAAAAAACTTGACAATATTATAATTATAATTAAACCTGAAGCTTGCTCTACAGATTTCGGTTTTCTCATAAAAAAACGTCTTGAAATCTCCATGAAACTGTAAAAGTAGCCTGATACAACTAATTTTTATAAATACGAAGCTATTATTATTAAGATTTTTTTAAACGTATACGAGATATCCTGTCTCGTGGCTCTGCTCAGTTTTTTTAAACCACTCTGCCTCTTCGCTATACGAGTATATCACGAACCACGATGTATACATTTATTTTGTGCCTAAATAATGTAGCAGAACTTAATTGCATTTTAGAAAAGATATAAGACTACCTTTACAATTACAAAAAGCCATGGCTGCGGAAGCTGAGTCAACAAGATTGGCTAGCGCAAAGATAAAAGTGGCTAAAGCTGAAATAGAATGTAATAGAAGTCTTCAAACAGCAACTGAAATGCTCATGGATAATCAATGGGGTATGACGGTATGTATGTTTTTAGTTTAATAATTCACATATTTCTGCCAATAGTAATTTCCGACTACCGACGCACATTATAATGGTAAATGGACGCCCCTCGACGAATTTCGACATTTGCATTTTTTTGTTTTCTTTTATTAACTGGTATTATTGGCTTGGACTGGGCTTGCTTAGACTTTCCTAAGTTTACAGTCAGTTTACAGGAGTCAGTCTTTTTCAAATAGTGTTAAATGTATAACACATAATTTAAGAAGGTTAGCTTTTTGCACATATTCATGCTAAGAGATAAATTCACATTTCACGTTTGTTTAAAATTACACAAACGTCACGAATTTAAGATCGCCACATAGAAAGTACATAGAATATTGACTTTGATACACGACTATTGTACAGGATTTGCGAGTTGTGATAGCATTCTTGAAACAGTATAATTTGTCATGAAACGATTTCTTATAAATCACTGCCATAAGAGCAGACAGATTCATAAACATATAAAAGAGTATTGGAACGTACACAACCAGAACTTGGCAGTTCTACTAAATGGCCAAGTCGAAGCTTTCCAAAAAGTAATATACACATATTTCCACGCACTATCACCACCCCTCTACCCGCAATACCCTCTGCTCATAAAGGAAATGAAAACAAGTTTAAGGCTAAATTGAGAAAGAGAAAGGGGGACCTTCTCAAACGACTACGAAATGCCAATGTCATGGGCGATATCCAACTGAGTCACCAACTGACAAGGGTTTTAAGATCAATACTAAAGCTAATTCAAGGAGTATCAGTACAAATCTCAAACGAAACTGGCAACTTAAACAGGGCAAAGCATGAAGTAGAGTTTAATCTAAACTCTTATCAATGTTCTAGAAATATCTTTAAGGAGAAGCGCGGAGAATTACTTCTAACGGCCGACCATATCTATGAAAACTACTACGTATGAGGTGCCAACACATGAGAAGACTTATCATGAACCAAGTGCACAAAGCACGGCAAGCCCTCGTTTCAAATTTTGATTGTAACCCGCCAACCTTAGAGGAAGTAGATAAAGTAGAAAGAAATTTCAAAATCAGCTCCAGGGCCTGATGGTATACGATATACAGTACATCAAAAATGTCTATCAGTGCGGAAACACCTTCTAAGTATATTCTGCAAAATCTGGTCTGCCTTTGGAAAAGCTAATTTTGTTATCATTATTAAAAAAGTGAAGTAATAGATCCCAGGGACACTGAACCGATAGCCCTTGCCATTACAATTTCTAAAATATTTTTCTCCTGTGTTCAATTAAAACAGTTTGTCAAGCAATAATTATTTCAGACCAAATTATCAGAAAGTTTTCATGCCCGGAAGCTCTGGATGTCTGGAATATAACTCATTATTTTCGGAAAGTCTCAAAGATGCTAGGAAAAATGAAAGGCAAATTACAGTCTGTTGGATAGATTTAGAAAACGCCTTTACGTCAGTACGACACTAGCTCGCATGCTATTTGTCTTGAAATGGTATAACTTTCCGCCAATAGTTTGTGAAATAATTGCATCAAGCTACAGTAAATTGTAATCACAGCCAAAGAGGGATATGCAAAACCCCTCGAATATAGAATAGGGTTGTCCCAAGGTTGCTTCTTATCACCAGTAGTATTTAATACAGTTATAAATATATGAATAGACAATATCGCAACATACGAAAAGAGGTGGGCCTACCGGTTTAAAGTCAATGAAAAATTTACGGAATCCATCTTAGCATTCGCAGAAGACCTTGCGATCCTCCTACGTAACCCGTGCCAAGCAGTGCCAAGGACTACTGCGAAAGGTGGAAGACTTCTGTACAGGGACGGAGGGAACGAGGACAAAACCTAACAAATGCTATTGCCTTTATCTAGGCCAGCGAAGTATGGGAGGACCTGAAATAACATGGTCCGGGTCCCCAGAGTAGGACACCTGAGGCCAGCTGTCGGGGTGGTTTTTAGTGGAATCACCACATACTCTTGGCTCATGGTCCCCGAGGAGCAGGAGATTTAAGGGGATTTTCCACCCCGTCAACAAAAACGAAAAGGCTAGCGAGGTATCAGATATACCTCATATGACCGCAGTATTACCATAGATAGGGAAAGTGTCAATAATATCAGAGACCGTGCCCTTTAAATTACTTTTAAGAAAGATAGACTATAACGTTTCTACTCTGTCTATGAACGCAATAGTCGATGACTTCGTAAAAGACATTAACAGCGTAGACCAACAGCCAATAAGTAACGTATGAAAAAGCTTGAATTTACGACAACTACCTAACATCACGTCTCAACTGGCCGTTTCTGGTATACGATATAAACCAGAACCACTTAAGAACACTGGACGTGAAAGTCACTTAGACATTGAAGTTGTGGCTCGGGCTAGCACCATCTGCAGACTCGTCAATGTTGTATAGGGGCTTGAATAACCGGAATGAAATAAAAAAGACCTTCGGAACTCTACAAACACCTAAGAGTTAAAAAAATGCATGTCTTGTCAAAATAACAAGACGAAATCGTTAGAGCCCTACAAAAGACAAAAACTCATCAGAGCTCGAGTCACGGCTCAATTCCACGAGAAATACATGTTGGGTAGAAGAAGTAGTAGAAGAGGGTGGGTAGTAGAAGACAGACTGACAAAGTGATAACAAAATCTTTCCTACAACACGATAAAACCGAGACCTACAAGGTGCAGGCAATGAATCTAGAAATGCAGAATGAATGGTTAACCCTATGAGAATTTTGTATCCCACAAGCTATGGACTGGCGCACACTTTTATACTATTGTTCACTTGCCCTGTTAAAATTTTACTTCAACGCCTTACAATTAACTCTCCCCGATCGAAGATACCTAGTAACGTGGGTAAATGGCTTGTAAAATGTGCAGTGCGGAAGTAGGTACAGCCAGGCACTCACTGACAGGTTGTAAGGCGCTATTAGACCAGAATCATTAATGATTCACGTCGCCATGATAGGGTATGACAAATCATACGCGAATAGGACATCGGAATCTGACAATGTAAACGTTACTAAGTAAAGCCTGCGGATTTTGCTTCGGTAGGCTTTACTTAGTAACGTTTACATTGTCAGATTCCGATGTCTTAGTAACGTTTACTATTGTGCTCATTATTGTTTTCGTTTCTTTTTTGTTCCTTTTGTTGTTATACCTTGATCTGATTTATAAATATTTCTTTCTAGTTGAGATATTTGCAATCTCTACAAACGATATCCGGCGACAAAACACATACCATCGTTATACCTTACTCTGTCGAAACGTTGAAAAATATTTTTAAATGACATTCTTTTTAACATGTTATTCAATTTTGTAAATAAAACTTATTAACTGTGCCTCCTTATTTTTTATTTACAAAACCTTTGCTGAGATGTAATATAAGCATTAAAATTCAATAATTGTGACTAATACACCTTTTTTTTTTTTTCCGTGCGGAAATCCCCTCGGATACCACCTGTAGGTGGCATGTCGGACTCAAACCGACTAAAACCGCACGCCGTCTCGGGTACTAATAGCCGGGGAACCAGGTATACCCTAGAAAGGAAGTCCCTGGTGTGTGACTAATAGACCTGAAATTATTAGATCTTAATATAAAGGAGTTCTTACTGAAGTTCTGCCGATTGTTTTTGTTTAAGAGTAATAAAAAATCGGAAACGTACTCATCTACCACTTCATTGGGTACCAGTTACATAAAAGTCAAGTTTGATTTATCTTTTTTATAATAAAATCATAATTTTCATTTATTTTTATTGAACATTCGTAACCGTAATAAATAATCAACAAGCTAAAAACTTATCTAAAACAATTTACATGACTAGTATTCACCAGAGTCATCTTCTTCACGTTTTACGTGACCGTATTGAATGGGCTGCTGTTGTGTCTGACCGCCGGCGCTTTTATGCACCGTTGCCTGCAAAATAAATGGGGGTTTTACAGTGGGCACAATCTGTGATTAAAATCCTTTAAAGATATTTAATGAGGAAACCATGAAACCTCTCTCCTAGACGAAGTTTTTCATGTATTTGTGATGCCGTGAAGACCTAATATCTTCACAACCACCTCTACCTACCCGCGATCCCGGTATGTACCTATGTGTATAATAATGATAGAGTAGTACAATACAAATGCAGAAAATTAAATCTCACCTATTGCAGGCAATTTGAATATCTTTTAGGTATTAAATTTTGGGTTAGGGGCGTTATTCTTCAGTTGCGATTTCTCGAAAATTTTAATATTAAATCTAGTTGCGTTTTACCCTGTTTTGTAACCAGGTACAGTCGTGATCAAAATAAATTAGCTTCTAGGTAGGTAGAAAAACAACAGTTCCTTTAACGACTACTAAAGTCTAATTTAATTTTTTGTGTACAAACCTAAGGTGGATACGCTTGTTCTTGTGGTTTATAGGTGGCATATACTAGATATTGGTGGTTTCATACATCAAAAGATAACTATATCAAATCATCTAATCTATATTATATTAGTGTTCAATTATAAGAAAATTGCGATTCAATTATTAAGCGCTGTGATTTTATTATTTTAATAAAGAATTATATTTAGAAATATTTGTCTCGCCATTTGTACGATTTAGAATATTCTTTGTTATTTTTGAGGGTAATTTGAAAAAAAAATTACTACCAAAAAGATGAAATATTAAGGAATTAAGAGTACAGGGCATTGAACTTGGTGATATATTTTTTTAAGTTTTCTAAAATTAAGAGTGTTTATTTATTAAAAAGGGTGACATTAAGTCCGCCGATGTACAAAAGTGCATAAAGTTATAAATAAAAAAAAATGAAGTAAGAGCAATGCCTAATGATAAAACTCCCACTTAAAGAATAGCAAAACGTACCTGGAATCCATTTTTAGGGTCTGCGGTATACCGCACAAGACGCACCGAGCCGTCTGGCTCGACGAGGGAGTATTCACCACGAACAACGTCTCCATCACGCTGTTCTTTATGATTCTGTAGATTTCCGGTGTGCGGATCTTCTACTCCATATGCGTAATGGTAATCGGGTTTAGCCTTAAATCACCAAAGAGAATTCATAATTATCTCATAAACAAATGTTTGGTAAAATTCACCCCACCTATGCACTTGTTTTTATAACCAACGAGATGAACAGATAACCTTATAGAGATCGCAAGTCCACAGTGGCCACTTTCCACCGGTCTTCTTGAAAGTCATTAAGGAAGAGATTTGTTTGTGTGTGTGTTACAGACATAAGCTATAAATTGAACAAGTGGTTAACTCAAAAGTTAATTAAGTTGTGGTTTGATCTCAAAGGAGTTTATTTGTTATTAATGTAATTAAATTTAAATGAACTTTAATTAAAGTTATGAATCTATATAGTGTAAATAATTTAATGTCTTAATATCTAAATTGTTTCTAGTCTTGATTTCGTTCACTTAAATTTCCTGATCTGTTTCTGACAAGTACTCAATAAAATTTTAATAAAGTCTTTTCTTTAAAAAGCAGAAATAATTCTTGCTTTTAAAAGTCTAATAAACTAATAACTCACCACGTAATCCACCGTCTTTAAGTGCGCATATTTGGCAGTATCTGGATGAATCTGCCCTGATTGGTGGTCATAACCATAGTCGGCATGTTGTTGTGCTGCTATGCCTTCCGCGGCTGGTACTTGCACCTCCACTATTTGACCGCTCACTGGCCCTCTGAAGCGATTGTAAGAGTAACCACCGGGAGGTTTTCCAGTGAGCACTACCGTTGCTAGCGCAACCGGGGCGAGAAACTAGAATAAAATAAAAATTAAATTACACATTTCGTTATTACTTAAAAATATTAGAAAATATACAAAGATCAAATGCAGATTGGAACAGATAGATAGAATATTCATAGATCCCCAAATAAAAAACCAATGATCGTGTTCATCAAACAATTGTTGGTCCTAGTTTTAAAATAATTTTTATACCAGCTTATGCCCTTTTTTTTCTGTGCGGAAATCCCCTTGGATACCACCCACCGGTGGTTATGTCGGACTCGAAGCGACCAAAAACTGCACGCCGTCTCGGGTACCAGTTGCCAGGGAACCAGGTGTACCCTAGGGAGGAAAACCCTGATATCCCAACGTACCTCGGGCCATCTACAGGCGTAAATGACCCCCTCCTGTGTGGGAACCCCTATATCCCCTTTGTGCTCCCGAAAGGGCGCGCGCGCTTCGAAGCGCGTCTCGCCACCACGCCCGGCCTGCTTCTGCTAGGGTGACAGATGGCCTCACCTACCACCCCTAGGCCTGCGCTTATGGAGGACGGAGGTCATTCTTCGACCTCCGGCGCCTGAGTCGTCTGCGGTACCTGGCCCGTTGCCGGGCCTGGCGCTCCGAGAGAGTTCTAAACCTCTATCGATCTCGCTCCGCCATCTCCTTAACAACCATAACTTGCTCGCAGAAGGAGACGGCGGAGTTCCACGAACTCTCGCTCCGTACCATGGGGGCAATCGAGTTACCGAGTGAGAGAACTGCCACTCCGATGGCCGCCACGAGGCAACGCCTCTGCTCCACTCTGTATGGAGCGCTGTGTCCACGGTCCGGCCATCGCAGTGGTGGCACTCAGGCGTTGGCTCCTTGCGGATTAGACACAAGTGATCTCCGAAGCATCCTTTCCCGGTGATCACCTGCGTCAACCGGTATGAGAGGGTTCCGTGATGCCTCTCGAGCCAATCCTCCATAACGGCTCATGCCTACGCCCTCCGCCCGCGTGTATATCGATTGTGGTGGTATAAAGCCTATGTCCTTCCTCAAGAATCAAACCTCAACCGATTTTAATGAAATTTGACATGGATATCTCCATTTAGAGCGGTTTAGTCGTACAAACAGACAGAGTTACTTTCGCATTATTTTACAATATTAGTAGAGATAGGTACAATATTATAGATACAAGTAAAAAATATGGCCAAAGCCATTTTTTACTTGTATCTATTCAACTGAAACAGTAAAAAAAATACATTCATATCCTATCCTGTCCGTGTAGTGACGGATTAAGAATGCGGAATGTCACTACCCCAATTCATCCCGTGGGTGTCGTAAGAGCCGACTAAGGGCGCAAAACAACGCAGGACACCAGCACTGCAAAAAGAAGGAAAACTTGACACAAACCCTATACCAACCCGTCTGGTCAGCGTGGTATAGTAGGCCAAAACCTCCTTTCTAAGGAGAGGCCTACGTCCAGCAGTGGACTATTAAAGGCTGTTGATGTGATATCCTATCCGGTCAATAGATATATCATTTATTTTTTCAATACTTGTATTTTGAAAAACCAGTAAGTAATTAAATTGTTTTGAACACTAATCTGTTTCTATAAAACGAATACTCAATTATATTTACTCAGTTCAAAAAAAAGAGAAAACCTAAATTTCAACCATGAGGCTAGAAAAATATATTTATTTTTGTTGTGGTTGAAACTGTACCGCAAGCCACGTAAAATTCAACAAGAATGCCTACGCACCTCGACTGTGGAAGTTTATTTTCTTTTATATTACGTAGACACCACTTCCATCCACTGTGACAAAAAACCGACGGCCTTCACGGTCAACGCCCAGTAAAATATTACTCAATGTTGACAATGAAAATAATTAACTGCAAAGAAAGCGAGACCGTTTTTTCCGGCCAATTCAACGTGACTAATTGCATAATGTAATATTAGTTTTTTAAAGTAAGTACTGCTAAAACGGAATCAAAAAATTAATTCAATTATCCAATAAATAAATTTAATCATTGAATAAATCTATGAAGGTGACACCCTTTTATGAAGTCAGATCAACCGGTACAAACTAATAACGTAAATAAACGATGTAACAACAAATTAGATTGGTATCTAGTTTATTGTTAAATCGTATAAACTGGACGTGTAATGTCTTCATAGATGCTTTTAGTCAAGAATGATCTGAGGAAAATGATTAAAGTCAGTCAGTATCTACATCATCGACTTGAGGCGAATAATTTGATATTCTATCTGATACTTCATGTCCTGATCTTACATTACTTTGTTTTTCTTACTTCAGGTTATTTCTTATGATAATACGACTCAGGCAAAGTAATCATGTCCAAATGAAGTGCAGATACTCTCATCTTCCAATCATCTTTTCAAACTTGATACACATCCTAGTTTAAACGACCTGATCAGAAAAGGCAAAGGAGCGCTGGGAAATACTATTGAAACTGAATAATTGTACAAAACAAACACAAACTGTAATACTTCTGAAAACGAAAGTCACGCAATTTCTTTTTTTACCTACTACTAGATTGTCGTGAAGAAATAGTTTTTGAGTGAAATTAACAATTCATTGCATGCGTTTATGCGTTTTATAAACTTCTTATCTAGATCTAATTTTTATAATATTCTTATCTAAATCTGATATAAACAATGTTCTAATTTTGTTAAGATTTTAAACACCTCATATCAATACGGCAATAAACACTGTTACGTTACGTTATCTTGCGTACTTCGATATAAAAGTGTAAGAAAATTTATTAATTACGGTAGATAGTAAATTTCCATCTCGTTCTTAGCACCTTTGATCTTAGTACTTTAACGAGGTATATTTAGTTAATTACTTTAAAACCAATTATTTTATGCTAATTAAAAAAGCGTCAACAAATAAAAACAAAAATAAACGTACAAAAAATAAAAATGACATGTAACTAATTGCTTGGTTTAAATATGGTGTGTGTGTATATTTGTTGTGTTGCCAAATGCGCAGAATACAATGGTCTAAAGATTTAATGTTTTTAGAGATGTATTGTATTAAAATAATATGACATTATCATGCAATATTTTTTCGATATTCGTTAAATTTTAAAACCTAATAAGTAGAACTTGTTTTATTTTTTAGGAAATTGCAAATAATTATTATAATTAAGCTAGCTATTAAAGGGTTACTTGTTTAACCAGACAAATCTCGTTGAAAATTGTTTATATATATATAATAAAATTACCAAAAAGGCAGTGGTTATTTTCTTAAATGTTTGTATTTTACATATTATACGTACCTTGAATAAAAATGCCATTTCTGAAGTTAACGTTGGATATCTCCCTCAATGATCCCTGCGGAACTGATACCCGTGCCACAAGTGTTGAGGTTTTATACCAACAGTCACCTTGTCAACAACAAAATGCAATCGATAGTTAACTGTACGGTTGCGGCAAACTATGAATCAATATTTTTCAATATTTGGGACCGGGTACGCAGCCAAACGTTACAATAAAACATTGCGTAGATTTGTTTTCGGTTTCTAAGTATCAAAAGCATGTTTTTGACTCTGACCTTGATTATATTTTCGTTATAGATTTTAACAATATAATATTAGGATAAGAAGAATTCTTAACAATTCAAATAAACTAGTTTATTTGATCAAAGTCTGATTCAATGCAGTTACGCAAACACATAAACGTCTTCAATACCATCGCTACTATTGACGGTTTCGATCTTGAATTCCTTAATCCTGCTATATTGATCCGATATCGTATCGATTTTACTTCAATTAAATTTCTTAAAAATATTTTTTCTTAATGTCTAAATGTCTAAATTAAAAACCTTCCTTTGTTTATTCAGCAATCGTCCATGACAAAGAAATCAAGGACTTGTCATGAACTGCCTGCACGAATGACGTAGTGGTTTAAGCGGTCACCTCGCCGCTTCTTACCAGGCTGAGTGTTGATGGTTCGATCCCCACATGGGGCAACACTTATGTGATTCATAAATAGTTTTTCTGAATCTGGATGTTCTTTGTGTCTGTTGTTCGTATATTTGTAAAGTTGCCCGCGACACAGGATATATTCCTAGTAAATTACTTGTCACTTTAAAAGAAAAGAAATGAACAGTTTAAGAAGAGGTTTTGAAGAGGAAATATTTTTGCGACTGTAGAAAAACGTTCACCGCCTTTAAACCATACACAGACGGATTGCCTATATCTATGCGAATCGGACATCTTAAATCGTATAGACATTTTAGGATGTCTGATTTGTATAAATAAATATGGTCTGTGATTGCATAGATTTTAGAATATTATTGATCGTAAATACTTTTATACAGAAAACCAAAATACGAACAGATATGTAGAGCTGATTCTCACCACCTTCCTTCCTACCGTTTAACCCCTAATTCAAACAAAGGCAGCTAGACAGCTGTACGACGCTTTAAATTCATTTCGCATGCGTCGAATGCTAGTGTTCTCAACCACCGCACCGGTGCAAACAGTAGCAGAGACGACTTAATAAATACTCCAAAAGAAATGTCTTCCTTTTTAATTTTATTTTACACTAGCTGAGACCCGCGGTGTTACCCGCGTTTGTTGTTATAACCGCGGCAACGCCGCGGGGCGAAGCTAGTCTAAAAAGGTAGCCTAAGTTACTCCTTATGTCATCAGCTATCTGCCAGTGAAAATCCCGTCCAGCCGTTCCAGAGATTACCCAGAACAAACTGACAGACAGACAGACAGACAGACAAAAATTGTAAAAAATGTTATTTTGGCATATGTACCGTGTAAACATACATATGCATTTAGTAAAAAGCAGTTATTTTAAAATTACAAACAGACACTCCAATTTTATTTATTTGTATAGATAAATAATTAGATAATTTTTAGATGCACAAATAAAACAATAATATAATATATAACGTTGTGTATTACGAACTCCTAAACAGCGTGGTTTTTATGATAGAATAAAATGACGCAGCTGTTCAGTTGAGAACAATATCATTCAACGCATGAGCAATGGCTTTAAAGCGTCGTACAGCTGGCAATCGCTATCCTCGTCTGACTAGTGATGTTACACGCTAACTCTCTTTCAGTTTACCTTAAATATTTACCATTTTTAATTTTTAACAGCCAGCAACCCTTATTTACGGACAGATTTAATTAAACAACTGTATATCATAATAAAACAGAAAAAAATAGCTTTAATTTGATATATAAATAATAAATGTACGTTATGAACGAACAGTTAAGTCTCATATATACATATATATACTAGCTGAGCCCACAAACGTTGTTATGCCATATACATAATGTCAAAAAAAAAAAAAATTTGGAGTATGAAAAATAGATGTTGACAAATAATAAGATAACAAATTTTATTCATTCTTATTCTTTCATTTTCTGGCTCTACCACAGCTCTACATAAAATCCTTTGACAGTTTGTCTTTCAAATACATGACATTGGCGAAATTGTGGTTACATTCTACCACAAAGCCATTAACCAAAAGTTGAAGTTGAAGTTGATGTTGGCCGATTCTTAGACCTACCCGATATGCACACAAAATTTCACGATAATCGGTCGAGCCGTTTCGGAGGAGTTCAACTTATAACACCGTGACACGAGAATTTTATATATTAGATATATAATAAATATACGTTCGTTCGTTCGTGCGTTCGTATACGATATATACCCACCTTTGAACACTATTTTATCACCAACATGCAAAATTTTGGGGTCTTAAATGAATAATAATATTTTTTTTTTAATTTGAAAAAAAAAGTGTGATCCATTATTACCCAAAATTCACAGCAACTTTTGAAAAAATATGCATACAGGTTTGCGTTTGTTTAAAGGTTAACCTATTAGCTCTCAACTATTGCGATAGACAATTTCACGAAAAGGAAATGAAAAACTTCGCGAAAAATATCGCGTATCGGACCCGGCACCGGCCTGCTACTGTATTTTATATCGTTACCCGACATTTCTGAAGACAGGACTTACCTGTTAATAGTATAATGGCATAATGGTATAGTAGCAAAGCTGAATAGCCCTTAAAGGCTGATTAATAACCATTCAAACCACAATTTAATTAATTTGACTGCCCTCTGGGTTTGCCGTTGAACGGATTTCGTTGTTTGGCTCTAGTCACCTCTGGATAGAACAGAAATGTGTGCGATATCTCTATTGTCCTAACTTTATCTATGGCAGCTTTACTGGCAGCCTTGCGTTTACGTATGCCTGGGATTTTTTAAGATTTCTGCAGTATTGCTAACTTTTTGCCCTTTGTCCCTAATTTAAGATAGCAAAATAAGTTCTGCGTTTGAATAGTGGTAAAAGACTTTAAAACTGTAGTAGGCAAAAAAACTATAGGATCTGTAAAGCGTTTTTTATCCATAGAAAAGGAAAATGTTTTTGGAAATTTCAAAGAGATCAGAGATTTCCAAAGAAGTGGACAACGAATCCATACGTTGGCAACACTTCTTATAGCATAGATTTGTCATCCGTAATCCGAAACAAGTTCTAATTAGGGATGCAACACCGCTCATATAAAACATCGATTTAAGAACAACGAAATTTTCAAAGTGAAGCATCGATGTCCAAAACACCGAACTTTATGAACGATACGTCGATTTTTTATCACTGTTTATTTTTATATAATTAATATTTATTTTAACAGAAATGAAACAAATCAGTATTAAAATCTAATTATTTTAGGAAGTTTTACATTATTTATTTCACATTTATTTTTAGATTTTTATTGAATAATTATTGATTTTTAAAAGAAAACAAGTATTAGGTCTTTACCTATGAAATTGCCGTTTTGTATACTTGCACCTACCGACTATTACTTTTTCCAAAATTTAGACAACTTTTTAGTGGATAAAAAATTAAATTCCCGAGAGGCAGTACAAAATGCCTTTGAAGAGTTTGTTGCCTCCCGTCCAGCTGATTTTTACAAGAAGGGCATCAATAAACTGCCAATGCGTTGGCAAAGATGCGTCGATTGCATGGGTGATTACTTCGAATAACAGAAATAAAAAAGTTTGAAAAAATAAGTACTTTCACTTATTGCATACAAAACGGCAATTCCATAGGTAAAGACCCTTTACCTAATGAAACATATGTTTCATTAATAATAGGTCTTTACCTATGGAATTGCCGTTTTGTATGCAATAAGTGAAAGTACTTATTTTTTCAAACTTTTTTTGTCTTACTTTAATTAATAGGTTTTACGTTTATTTCTTTAAAATAGAATTCAAATAAGACTTTTGACAACCTGGTTCCCAGTAAGTGGTTTTAATCCTGGATGATAGCAGCACCAGGTTCTTTTTTTAACAGCTCACTAGGTATTAAAGTTGCCACGATAGGCAAATACATCATGACCATTATGACGTCCCACATCTTCATCGCGTGTCCTTTGATAGGAGTTGTAATACTCCTAACAACAACAAAATCAGAAATAAAACCTATAAAATGAAGGTTTACCTTTTTAAGCTCACTTTTTAACTGAAACAATGAAATAGAGTGTAATCATATTATTGAGATAAGAGGTAGGTTACGTTCGCAATACACAGTTGAATTTTGAGTTATCTATCACAGGTAACCATAACTTTGCTTACTTCTTCACACAACAAATAAAATAATAACCGTTGATACAGCCGATCGAAGCAATTGTTTTGTTTCGTTTATCGCGCGTTCCTTAAATATAAAAGTCCATCCTTGTGGCAGTTGTGACTAAGAGAGGTATCGTTCATAAAACATCGCTCATGAAAAACGATATATCATCGATATAATGGGTTTCAACATCGATGTTAAAACAATGATGTATTTCAAAGATATTTCAATCGGATCAAAGGAAGAAAATCGATGTATCGCTTGCATCCCCAGTGCTAATATGTGCCCACCCACACTTATACAATCATTTAATCGCAATTACATTAATTAATTACCTACGGCATTTCGTGCATAAATGTAAAAGTGATTGTAATAATGTAATATTAAAAATATCTACTCCCCAATCCGATTGTATGGACAAAGTATGATATAATAATTGCTATCTATTTGAAACTGCGTTGCGTTATTTTTTATGTTATTGTTCTTAACACTTGCAAATGTTATCTATCTATAAAAGTGTTGGATCACAGAATAAAGTAATATACGAGGAAGTGTGGATTAATCACGCCGGAAAGTGACCTGTTACATGAATATGATGTCTCTTTGAAATATTCTACTGTAATATTAAAATAAAGTACCCAATTTTGGAATATAATATACATAATGACAACAAAGAAATGTGATTATCGATGTTGTTTCATTCACACAAATTATTTATGTGTTTACGGTCAGTGTCTATATTATGATGGTTCAATAACTAAACCTTAAAGTAAAAAGAATTTAATGAATCGAAATATGAATCTTAGTGAAAAAAATCGTGCAAGTAAGGCACTGGGTTCGCCAAGAAAACGATTTAAACCTAACTCAGAAGAGGTCAAGGATAAAAACTGGACCTTGGCCTGTGTAGAAGTATCCGGTAATGAATATTTTGACTACCGTGCGAGATTTCAACTTGTTTATTTACCTTCTTGTATACCAATTTGTAATCATGGGAAGTATAATGTAAGTATTAGACTTTTTGAGTTATTTTCAGTTTTCTGTAGTAACCTTAAGACACATCCTTGTGGTACTAGGTCTATTGCAGGGATCTATTAAGTGTAAATGATTTTTTTTCATTCCAATCAATGTTTTTGGAGCAATATTCATTATTAAAGTTTATACAACCTTATAAACAAACTTATTGACCATCATTCCAATAAAGCATTGATATATTTTTGCTCTAGCTGTGCTACTATATTATTGAATTTTCATTTCTTCCAGTCTGTCATTAAAATCTCTGACCTGACTTTCACAACAGCCTTTTCTGAGATATGGAATCTATAAATGTCACCTCCTTGCATCCTACTGCACTTAAATTCTAACCCAAAAACACTGTGTGATCAACAAATTGTGTTGCCTTGTGTGTGTCGTCTTTAAAAAAAAGTATCTCTGTGACGTCAGCATATATTTAGTAGATATGTGTGGGTTAATATGGACCGCAGACCACATTAGTCCACATGTTCCCTACCAAAGTTATTCATCTACACTGTGATGGATCTTTAAGATCATGAAATATGAGAAGCCATCCTAATTTTCTTCTTCACTCTTTTAAACATATTAACCTTTTTAAATGATACCTGCTTACTATGTATGCGATTTATTTTCAGGGAAGTATTAAACAAATGCCAACATACGCTGAAGAGTCCTTTTACACTGAGATCAGGAATCACATGTGGTATGATGCATTAGAAGTATGCCATATGAGCATAACTCCCACACAATACTTGTCCTGTGATGTCCTTCAAGAAATTGTTGAAATAATATTGGTAAATATAATTTTCATTGATCTCAACTTTAGAAATCTTTTTATATACACGTAGTAGTGTTGTGATTATTTTAACACAGTGTGACAAGGTTAGATCTTGTCGCACTTTGTGTTGTGTGTGCAGTCCCCACTTGTGAATAAGGGTATACCTACCCACATTGTCTGTATTAAAAGTAATTGAAATTCTATCACGAAAAATGTTTAAAATCAAATTAAAAGCTAACTTACTCTTAATAAAGATGTTGTTAGAAATTTATCTAAATTGAAATTTTAAGGAAAATTCATTCTACCGAATAATAACTCTGCTTAAATCTAGCATTTAGATTTAATTTCATGAGGAAATAATTTCAAATTATTCTTCCCAGAATGTTCATGAAGACAGATGCTCTGACTACACTGCCAAATACATAATTGATAACTGCCAACAAACACTGTTTCAAAATTTTAGTACTCATCCACCATGCCAGGACAATAATTTGAGGAATTGCTATGTAAAATTTCTTACTTCTAGCATGCCTGATAAAAAAAACACATATACCAATAGAATCAACTATGAATACAACCTAGGCATTGTCAAATATTGCTTGAATAGATTAGAAAGTGAATTAAGTACTGATAGTAAAGATGGACCCATAGTTGACAAGAATATTCCAGAAAATTTAAAAGGCACGGTTCAAGGGTTCCATTGGATAAAACAGAATTATGAAATATTTGAATCATTAAATAGAGAGGAGAGAATAAAAAGACTTTTTGCTGTATTAGAAACTATAATTGAAGTGCTGCAGTTTGATTTGGCTATTCAACAGTCAAGGTATATCTAAATGTAGATCAGATACACCATGCAGATGTGTGTCTGGAAAAGAAGTAAATTTTCATTTCATATCATTCTTATTATTCAGGTACTTAGATGATCAAAGTTGTCAAATAAGATGTAATAAATTAATGGAGCATGTTTTGGGGCCGCAAAATAAAAATGGTCACTTGAGTGGCACCTGTCGACAAATAATAAGAATTTTTGCTAATGTGGTTCATCTTCAGTATCCAGATGCCATGGTGAAGACTATTACTGTAAGTTAAGCATGTTTCACTAACCAGTAGACCAAATAGGCCAGTCAATCATTAATTTCTGTATTTGAATATAGGTTTGACCTTTCCAATATAAATGAAAGAAAGTGCTTCATCAATCATCACTATCATCAACAGACGTTAGTAGTTCACTGCTGGACATAGGCCTCTCCTAGAAAGAAAGGAGGTTTGGGCATACTATACCACTCTGGCCAGACAGGTTGCTAAAGGGTTTGTTTTAAGTTTTCCTTCTCTTTGCAGTGCTGTTGTCCTACCTAGTTTGCTCCCTTAATCGACTCTTACGACACCCATGGGATGAATAGGGGTGGTGACACTCCATATTCGTATTATGGGTGTACACACAGAACAGTCATATATTATAAAGTGCTTATTAGATGGGAAACAAGTACCATAGAATTAATTGACAATCCTAAAAGATAATTGATTATCATTTAAGTACTGAAATGAATTTAGTTTAAAATGTCAATAACTTTATGTTTACAGATGTGGCTGAATAGTATGATCCAGACAATTTATTGCAGAGAAACACACTCAAATACTGACTATCCAAATATTTCTAAGAACTGTATAGAATTCGCACAAGAATTTTATAAGATAATTGCAGGTAAGTAACAAGTGTCATACATGTAGATATTGAAGGAAAACATCATGCTTGTGTAATGTTTAATCTTTGTACACCTTTTTTTTCAGAGTTGCCCCATGATTCTTTTACAAGAATATTAGAAAGGATAGAACCTTCATATATAAGACATATTGTGGGACTCTTTTATCTAAACAAAATACTATCTGTGAATGAAGGTTGCATAATTAAAATTCTTAAAGATTTTCTATGCCAATCACAGTGGAAATTATATTCCACCAAAAATGTTGAAATTAAATTATCTAAGGAGTTATTTAATCCACCAAAAAGGGTATACGACAAAATGAGTTATTTATTGAGCAAATGTACTGTCCCTATATCTGAAAATAATAATAATAGTATGGTGTTTCCTAAGAAAGATATAAAATTGATGGTGAAAACAGAAGCTGATCTCCATCACATTGTCCATACATTATATATTACATTAGATGCATCTCTAGACGCTAATAAACTCCAATCTGTACAAGATACATGGAATGCTTTAAATAAACAAATATTAAATGGTGATCTTTTATGCACATATAACTGCTACTCAGTATCAGATGCATTAGAATGCAGATACAAATATAATTTAAAGGCTATTAAAGAATTGGCTTCTTTATTCAATGATTTAATAAACCAAGGACAGCTGCCACTAATGTTTAACATTTTTGGCAATATTAGATTATTAGAACTACACATTTAGCTGCAATGAACATAACTCTGTGCAAGATACATTAAAAGATTTAAGTAAACAAATCTTAAATCAGTGAATGTATAGAATAATTTCAGAATTAACTGTTCAGTTCAGTATCAGAAGCATTACAATGCAGACACAAATTTGAATGTTGTTATTGAACTGTGAGGTTCTTTGTAACACTGTCACCAATGTTAGATGTTTTCAGGGTTAAACTTATATAGTTTGTCATAACTATAATCTTGTTATATGTACTAACAATATCTGTGTATTTCTACTATACATAACATACATTTAGAATAAATGCTGTCAGTTTTATTAGCTTTCCATATTCGGTATGGCTGTAATTCAAGAACCAGCAAATATAGTACTAAATTGGAATGAAACAAAAAGATTTTAGTTTTGTTCTTATTATCTTTGTCTTTCAGAGTAAGTAAACCTACTGTAAGTTAATACAATATTAATATTTAATTAATATCAAAACAGAAAATATGAGGGGGTCAAATAGATGAGTTTCTTATGTAAATAACTGTTTGTCTGTTTCACTAATTCCACGACTTAAACAATGGAATGCTTCAACTTTAATGGTGCCATATTTTTTTACGTTTTAGTTTTATGTTGCAGACAAATGAGCAGTATCTGGTACTGTCACTAACTTGGTAAAAGTCTATGAAAGAGATGCTTTTGCAGTTTTCTGTGAGGCAGTGGTTTTAGTTGAGAGTTTTAGATATTTTTAATATCAATTTATTTTATATATATAATTTACATAATAAGACACTTTATTACATTATAATCTATGAAATATTCTTAATTATGTGGTAAAAGGAATGTTATTTTTGTTTAAGTATAAATATGATTGAAATGTTTTTATTGAATAATGTTGTTAAGCTGTCCAATCAGGCAGTAATATTAACCAAAGGTTTACAAAATTATTAAAAAAAAAATTTACTATTTTTTTACAAGATGGTTTACACAAGAAATATGTGTGTTTATGTATTATGAAAATAAAATACTATTTTTTAAATGTTTTCATTGATTACACTAAAGCCTCAATAGCTAGGTAGGTACTTGTCATCATTGACCAATAAACATCTTGATCAAATAATTTAAGCAGTGTCTTGAGCGTTTGACACTTTTTCTGGTGGCTATATTGACCAATACGGCAGCGCCCACAATGCCGACAAGTTGGGGATAGACTACCTGAAAACCAAGTGCCAGGCGCATCAACTTACGAGTCATCATCCCCAACCTAGCTTCATCATGGGTTTTGGGCCCATCCTAGTCCGACACCTTTCTCCACTGATCACGCTCTTTTGCGAGGTCTTTCCAATCAGAAAACTTAATATCCAAGGAGATCATATCGCGCTTCACGCCGTCCTTAAACTTCAGCTTTGGCGGGCCCACAGGTCTCTCGGCATAAGCTATTTCCCCTAGGAGAGTTTGTCTAGGCAAACGACAGGGCTCCATACGATGCACATGTCATAGCCAGCGCAATCTCTTCTGTTTTAACATAACTGCCCAGCGTAACTGTTAAGTTACGCTGGGCAGTCTCGTCGTTTCGAGCACCTGCTCGTTCTGTCTTTCCAGGAGATGCACAGAATGCTTCAAAGACAGTGCATATGGAAGGCGTTTCAACACCTCTCTTGCCCAGTTCATGATGTCCACGTCTCAGCTCCGTACAAAAGCACGCCTAAGACGCATGGTTGGTCCACGATCATCTTGATATTAGTGGTCGGCTGTTTGTTGTCCCAAACTCTTGCACTAAGGTGTCTCAACATCGTAGCCAGCCGCCCTGCCATGCGAATGCGGATCTTTGCATGAAGTAAGAGATTGCTTGTCACGTTTCAAAGGTAGCAAAACGATTCAACCATTTCCAGGGTTTATTATTCACTCGCGGAACTGTGCCGTCTCCTTCTGCGAGCAAGTTATGCTCGCGAAGGAGACGGCGGAGCGGGACCGGGAGAGGTTTAGAACTCTCCCGGTCCCGGTGGGGTTCCCACACGGGGGGGGGGGGTCGTCTACTCGTCTGTAGATGGCCCGAGGTATGTCGGGGCACCAGGGACTTCCTTTTTAGGGTATACCTGGTTCCCCGGCTATTAGTACCCGAGACGGCGTGCGGTTTTAGTCGGTTCGAGTCCGACATGCCACCGGTGGTATCCGAAGGGATTTCCGCACGTGAAAAAAAAAAGGTTTATTATTCACTAGAATCGTTGGCTCCTCTGCACATCTTGGCCACATGATGACGGTCTTCTTAGCATTTATATAACGGGCCTGTTGGTCTAGTGCTTAGTGACTGACTGCTAAGCCAGATGTCGTGGGTTCGATTCCCACCCAGGACAAAACAGGCAAACTATTAAATGTGTTGGCGATGTCCAATGACACCGCCAACAGCACGCCGCCACAGCTCACCGCCTCTTCGGTCACGGCCCTCAGGCGCAGCACAGCGCCGACCGTCGAACGCCGCGCTCAAAAACCGAATTGGGCGTTCGACAGATCAGGGCCCACCTCGCAGAGATGCCGGACGAAGCAGGCAGAGAGAACTCTCTCAAACAATTTACCCGCTTCGTCCAGCAACACGATGGGCCGCGACCGAATCGGCAGGCCGTCCCGGTTCCTCAACAGGACCAGCTTCCCGCTCTTCCAACACTCAGGGAAACGTCCGGACACCAAACTAGCGTCGAACACCTCCCTGAGGCGGGCTACCATGTGGTTGTGAGCTAGGGCCAGCACTCGGGCCGGTATCCCGTCTGGCCCAGGGGCGGTCTTCTTGGAACGGATCCGTAGAACAGCCGCCCCTACCTCCGAATCCCGGACAGGGGGAACTTCATCCCCGCTCTCCCTGTTTTCCGGCCAAGGAGGCCATTGACGGGGCTGTGTGCTCCGCCCGTTGCGGGAATAGGCCCTCTACCACTTCCTACAGGAAGCTGGGCTGGAGAGTCTCCGTAAGGGGGGGGGGGAGGGGGGGCACGCGCGGATCTTTTGTCGCACCGTGCGATAAGGGCGACCCCAGGGGTCACGATCGAGACCCTCTATCATCTCCTTTCTTTTCGCTTCTTTGGTGCGGCTAATGGCCGGCTTCAGTGTTTTCCGAGCTTCTCGGTACTCTCCATAAAGCCGGTTCTCCTCACCGGAGGTCTGCCAACTCCTGGGACCACCAGTAGACCTCCTTCCTTGGAGGTTGATGACCTTGGATGCGGGGCATGGCCGCATCGCAGATTTGCGTGATCGCATCGCGAAAGCGACCAGCCCCCATATCGACCTCCTCGGTCGGAGCCTGAGGAGACAACCAGGAGTGAATTATGGCTGCCTCCTCCAGTAGGTCCCTGTTCAGTCTGGCAACAGCCAACCGCGGCAAGCGGAATGAACGCCGGGTCCGGGAGGACTCAAATCGGATATATAAGTTATCCGAGAGCGTCTCAACCTCTTCCAGGGCCAAAACACAGCCCTGCCGCAACTTTCGATTTATCTCAAAACTGCTCGAAGTTTCAACATGGGACCCTTTTCTTCCGACTAACGCAGGTCCTTTCCGGGCACGCCCGCTTCGGGAAGTACCTGCACTCGGTCGCTACAAGGGAATTGAGTCCCGCCTGTCATCACTGCGATTGTCTCGCTACCGACAGTCATACGCTCCATGGCCGGAGTGATATCCTTCTGCGAGATGACGTCTTCGACTTTAGACGGCGGAGAGAGCCTGCGAGGACAACCTCCACTCGGACCCAATTCGTCGCCGGCGAACCGAGCGGCAGAGGTGCGCTTACCACCGCCTCATGAGAATGTACACGAAGATGGTGCCCGTGCCATTGCGGGTAGGCGCTAGGAGGGATCCGGATGTCTTAATAATAGCAGTTCCCGGATCTCTCCTATTAAAGGCGCAGAGTTGATTTTAGTCGGTCCGTTTCACCACCCCGCCCCAAACCCCGGTGAGATGACGACCCGAGGGGTTTTCCACAGGTAAAAACAAGGTAAACACTAGCTGCAAGTTTGTGAGGCTTCGCCGACATGATACGACCGAGCAGCTTGCCTACGATGCTTAGAAGGGAGATGCCACGATAGTAATTGCAATCTCTACGGTGGCCTTTACCTTTGTACAAGGTGAAAATGTTAGCATCGCGCATATCGGGTGGCACAAAACCTCAACCCAGATGTCGCAAACAGATTGTACAAGACAGGTGCAACTAATTTTCTTATCTTTTGCCTGATTTGAGCTCATGTAAAGCTTTTTTTTATGGAATAGGGAGAAAACTAGCAGACGGGTCACCTGATCTAAAGCGACTACCGCCGCTCATGAACGCCTGCAACTCAGGAGTCACAAGCGCGTTGCCACCCTTTGAGAAAGAAGTACACTCTTTTCTCGAAGGTTTGAAGGTCGTATCAATCCGGAAATACCGCAGCCGATAACTTGTTCCACAGATTGGTTGTGCGGGGCGGAAATGGAAGCAACCGAGGTGTTTCATTATTTTCCCTTGGTATTACGACGATACAAAAGCTGATCAGCTGAGCCTTCCGATATACTCTTAAATGGGTATTGCGTTACGGATCAACAGCTGCTCAGCTGGGAACGACCTACCTATTCCCAGTACTTGTATCAGCCAGCTGGAATAGTTATTAGGGCAAATATTAGATACATAACCTTAGGGACAATAACTCACCAAGAGTGCCCCTAAACCTTTAATTTTGAGATTTTTAATAAAGTAAAATTAGTTTGTAGGTACAAATTACAAATAATATTATGAAAACAAGTAAATAACCCTAATCCATTTTCCATATTTACCCATTAAAAATGGAAAATGGATCTAGGAAGTTAAAGCAATCATTTAGACGAAAACTAGTACAAGCGCAAAATATATATATCACTCATCTAGTTCACTAGCTCATTTAGCTCACTGATCCAATTCAATTGATTGATTTCTCAATTGATTCATTTCTTCATCTAGATTGTTTAGCTCAGTTTATATCACTCACTCATACAAACCTTTCTTTATTCTCATATTAACCTAAATTCAGTTCTTGGAACTTAATTTATAATCAATTTTTTAAATACAACTTTTATTCATTTTGATAAGATTACATAATTATTAACACCCTTTTATAAAGTATTTAAAAATAAGAAATACGTATAATACATTTTCTTTGTACAATTTTAACGTTGTAAATTAGAAATCATATATAATTACTTACAACATAAATTGATTTTCCTTATAGGTACTTGGCAGGCTTAATTTTCAAAAATAAATTAAGTAATGTTACTATTCTATAGAAATAATTATATTCTATAGAATGCTAATATCCTATAGAAATCATTATATAATATATTAAATAGAAATAACGTAGCGTGAACTCAACCATATCTATCTCACTCGCTCATGAAACAAAGATCGGCGTCGTTGAGCTAGTGGTGCTAGTACTGAGTTACTGATACAATTTATCGCCGTAAATGAAATATATATTTTATGTCACTTACTCAGGAGCTACACAACTCTATTGTCAAGTGTCCAGCAATGACAATAGTGTCAAAGAACTTATTTCAAAAAATTATGTTAAGCAACATTCAAAGCAAAGAGAAGACTATTTATTGTCAATATTAATTATTAGTAAACCAAGTGTTCACTAACAGCACACAATATTAGCTGTTATTACACTTTATATACGAGTGATAAATATGAGCCCTAAAAAGAAAAAAGCGAAGCTCAGTGAAAGTGCGGAATCAAATAAGCGGTCAAGTGAAGCTCCTGATTCAACACAAAAACGTTTAAAACATATTGTAAACAGAGAGGAGGAAATTAAAACCAGAAAAAGAAAGAACTTTATTATGGCTTGTGAACTTGTGTCTTACAGAGACTACTTTAATCACCGTGCTCGGCTTCTGCTTGTATGTTTGCCTTCTTGTATGACACTCTTGTGTAAACATCATGACAGAAATTCAGTAAGTAGGTACAGTTGTAGAGTATATAAAAATAATAGTAACATCAAACATCTCACCCACGGCAGTGTGATCCCAAACTAGGCAGAGCCTATACCATTGTAAGCAATGCTGGTTGTTTCCTGCAACCACTTCGAATCTATTAGCCTTTTAACCAAGTTCGATTCTGGGCCAGGCAATGGACTCGGAACTGTAGGTGGAAAAAACTTACCTGGCTGCAGACAGAGTCGTGGTGTGACTCACCTGCAAATTTATCAGTCTTAGCAGACTAGAAATCCGAATAGGTCTAGGAACTATAATAAGCCATCTAGCCTGAACTGACAACTATTCACCATTAGAGGCTTCTGTACTTCTGGAAAGAGCTTGGTTGGCTCACCTAGCCCACCTGTCCTTGACGCATAAAGGACCACTCTTGAGTTTATATGTCCAATACCATATACAAATACCAGCCGGCTCTTAAACATACATAAATATTTATAAATACATAGTAGTATATGATAGTACATATTTACTTAGTAGTCACGTCGCAAACCCTAGTGGTTTGTGATTGTGACTGCTAAGTATATATAATACACCAATATATAACTATACCAATAGGCCCATCTAACTTGTAATTAAACCTATGTATTAGTGATCGGAATGCATTTATGTATGTATTTAGAATATTCTGTAACACATATCTAGCAGTTTCTATTGAGTGTGGATATAAAAGTGAAACCCATGTTTTTTTTTTTTAGGGGAACATTCAACAAATGTCATCATATGCAGATGAATCTTTTAAAACTGAACTGAAGAATAACATGTGGTATGAGGCATTAGAAGTGTGCGAGATGTGTATCACTCCAACACAGTACTTGTCTTCTGATGTCCTTAAAGAAGTGGTAGAAATTATATTGGTGAATATTGCTTGTTGTAAAAACTATATTTAAAATAATTGCCTTTAAAAAACAGGGGTTGATCGTAGAAAGGTGAAAATTTTAGTTGTATGTATTTTTCAATGCTAAATCATAACATAAAAATAAAAAATTGACAAAAAAAATAAAGAAAAAATATTGATGTTTGCCGATTCTCAGACCTACCCAACATGCACACAAAATTTCATAAAAAACGGTCCAGCCGTTTTGGAGGAGTTTGGTAACAAACACCGCGATATGAGAATTTTATATATTAGATAAATAGTTTACTTTGAGATGAACATTACTCAAAATAGACAGTAAAAGTTTATTCTAATCCCTTAAGTCCCAACATATGTTTGTGTAGACTTCTAAAACACATATTTACCACTTGTGCTAAAGACCTTTTGAATCTATCAAAATGTTCAAATGCTACCAATCTGCAGACTACTTTTAAAAAGAAATACCTACATGTCTTTTTTAATTAGTAATCATAAATCTTAGTTTTTAATAAAGTAATTATTTATAGTACGAACACCATTCTTAAAAATAGTGGACACATTCACTGCTGCCTATAAGAATGACCCTTAGACTGCTAACTAATGTCCATAATTTTCAACACTGGAGTAATGTGAATAGTCAACAGTGCACCTAATAAGCAAACTGTTGTGTTCCTTACGGTAGTGATGTTACAAACATGTGAAGCGTACTTTAAATCACACCCCTTGTGTGACCGATAAGTTCACATTTACGAGGAACTGAATTTTTTACCGCCGGAATTCTCAAATTTGGTCACGCGCCAATTAGACATGGAAATAATAATAATAACTTTTTATGTGTGTTATCCAGCAGTGAATGGGATATGGTTAATTAATTTTAAGTTAATCATTTCTTTTTATCTAATTTGCCAGAATGCCCACAAAGATGAATGCTCTGAATATACAGTAAAACATATCATTGATAAAAGTCAACAAATATTGATGCAAAACTTCAGCACACATCCTCCATGTTTCATGAAAAGTTTAAGAAATTGTTACAAAAACTTTTTAACATCTCCTATGTCTCTAAAAGAGAACACATTTACCAATAGAACAGAGTTTGAATGTAATAAAGGGATAATGAAATATTGCATGAATAGACTAGAGCATGAACTCAGCTTTGATAGTACCGATGGCCCTCTAGTTGATAAAGATGAACACATTCCACAAGAAATGAAGCAAAGTTTAAGAGGTTTACACTGGCAGATAGAGAAATTTGAAATATTTGAATTACTCAACAGGCAAGAGAGGATTGAGAGATTATTTGCTGTTTTGGAAGCTGTAATAGAACTGTTGCAGTTTGATTTAGCTATATGGCATTCAAGGTAATTTTTTTAGTAACAATGCTTTTTTGGTACCTATAACATATTTACACATATATAAACAGTATTAGAAACTTATTATAATATTAGTAGGGCTGAAGTAATATTACTGTACACTACCTTTACCAATATTTAACTAAGTAGGTACATATAATGATTAAAAAATGTTTTATACTTTCAAGGGTTTTTTAGCATTTTAACCTTCTTTGGAATGACACAAAATGTTCAAATGCTACCAATCTGTATTCCAGGTACACAAATAATCTAGGATGTCACATCATGCGATCACACAAACCCCTAATGGCTTATGTGTTGTGGTCAGACAATGTGCTGTACACTGGCGCAGTCACTAACAATTGTAGACAAATACTTAAGATCTTTTCATATATGATTCACCTTCAGTATCCAGATTCCATGGTAAAGACATTTGCTGTAAGTAAAGCTTTGACAGTTTTTTTCATTGCATCATCATCATCAATAGTCTCTAATAACCCACTACTGGACATAGGCCTCTCCTTAGTTAGTTTTGGCCTACTACACCATGCTGGCAAGACAGGTTGGTATAAGTTTTGTGTCATCCTTCTCTTTGCAGTGCTGTTGTCCTGCGTAGGTTGCTGCCTTAGTCGGCTCTTACGACACCCACGGGATGAATAGGGGTGGTGACATTCCGTATTCTTAATCTGTCACCACACAGACATTATTTTCTTTTTACTATTTTTTTTATAATATTATGAGTGTGTATTATTTTTTACAGCTTTGGCTGAATACTATGGTGCAGACATTCTATATTTGTGAACAAAATTCAAACATGGACTATCCTAACACTGGGAAATATTGTACTGGGTTTGCTAATGACTTCTATAAAATTATCTCAGGTAAGAATTAATTATGTTTAGTATAAACATTTTTTACTTGTCCAGCTAGGGTCCAGCAAAGCCCGTTTTCTAGATTTGTTTGAGGGGTATGGGCACTATGGATTCCAGGCCTATTTCGCAACTCTCAAAAACCCTTCAGCCAATTCCCTGCTGCAGTGTTGCCTCTAGAGCTGCTGTGGCGCCCAATCCATTTAGGGGTTGAGTTTGCAGATAGGCTAAAAACGCACTTGTCGTTAGCCGCACTGCGTTGCACCGTTGCGGTTTACCGCACATCGACTTTTATATGAAAACGCATGACGTCAATGCATTGACGTGCAGCCAGCCATCAACCGTTGCTGTTGGCTTGAGATTGCGGTGGGTCGATGCGTTCAAACGTACTTGATGCGGTCAGCCGCAGGCGCCGCTGCCCGCCCCAATCCGTCGCTAGTCGATGTAAGTAGTAGTTTGATGCTCTGAATTTTAATTAGTCAGAATATACGAAAAATACAAGAAATGGTAATGGGACAATGGGTTTTGAAACACGAGCTCATTAGGATGGGCATACCACTGATTATAGATAAAAAACAAATTTAAAGGCTGTGTTATTTATTGTTTAAAAATTATTGCTTTTTTGTATACTACTAGGTATTGACTTACTTTATTTATCTATTTTTCTCTTTTGAAAAAGACAACTCCCGCATTTATACGACATACATGAAACGAACACAAAGAACACAAAGACTCAAAACGACAATTTGTGGCTCACACAAAGTATTATCCCAAACCCACTACATGCAGCGCATGAAGGTGGCTTAAACCACTACTATGCTATCCGTGCAGTCAAATTGGAATGAATACTAATACTACTATGATAAAAAAAAACAATTACACAATCAGCAACATCTCTAGAATATCACTAATAAATCATTCATCCTCTGAATCTAATCTATTTTTCAATTTATTAGATAGTGTGGCAATCAGAGGGCCTGTGTGTAAGTTTATTTCACATAAACACGCTTTTGACGGCGACTTCGTGACGATAGAGTAGATGTGAAATAAACTCACACTAGGTCCTCTGATAAGGAGTCACTTCATCACTCTACTGGCGTAGTACAAATGATATAATATAATATTATTAATTGCAGATAATATATGGATATAGATACCTAAGAGAATTCTTAGTAGCTTGATGTTTAGGAGATTCGTAAGCTAGTTAGTTACCACCCAGTTATGTAAAGATACAGGCAATAAAAACTACACAAATTAAAAAAAAACAGGGCTGTTTTAATTATGATTAACTTTAATGTATATAATTTCTATGTTACAGGCCTACCACAGCAATCCATAATCCGAATATTGGAAAGAATTGAACCAACATTTATGAGACATCTCATTGGAATTTTACATATTCAAAAAATACTATCCATAGATGAGTGCTGTATATTAAGAATTTTAATAAACTTCATTGGCGAACGACAATGGAATTCGTACACTCACGATAATACAGAAATAATATTTTCTAAAAAAATGTTTAGTTTGCCAAAAACGGTCAAGAGAAAAATTAATTATCTATTGAAGAAAAGCAAAACATCATTTCCTTTAGAAAGTACAGAAAGTAGAACGTATTCAAGAATGGAGCCAGACATTAAAATAATGAAGTCAGAAGCTAGTCTTTATCATATAGTCCATTGTTTATACATAACATTAGATGCATATTTAGATGCATATGATATTCAATCCGTTCAGGAAACATGGAGTAATCTTAATGAGCAGCTAATGAATGAGAGCCAGGTAATAGAGACAGATACTGGGAGTATTTTGACAGCACATAGTAATTATTCTGTGACAGAGACATTAATTAAAAAATACAGACATATTTTAAAATCTATAAAAGAGTTGGAAGATTTGTTTAGTGAATTAAAAAAGCAGGGAAAACTGCCTGAAATTTTAAATATTTTTCAAAATATTAAATCTATATTTTTATGAACTTTGTTTTAAAAGTCTTTTGAGTTTGTTATTTAGTTCATCATACCTACTTGCATGACAAGGAATCTAAGTATACAAAATAACTCATTTAAAGTATGTGAATTTAACACACATTTAGCATGGAGAATAAGTAGAAAGCAGGTGTTTGTGTAGTTGCCATGCAAAGTGGTCACTATATGTATAAGAAAATCACATGCGCGTTTGGCCTTGTGGCGTTGCTCTTAGGGATGTAGCTCGCCACTGGTTTTCCTAGAAAGTCTAATTAAGATGATTGCTGTACATGGTGTTTGTTTTCTAAAATACTTTTGGTTGGTTGCTAGAAAAGTCGTTTAGTGGGCCATGGCAGGCATTGTTAATCTATGTGTATGAAGAAAGATATAGATTTTTACTGCATAGTTTTGATACTATTCAATTTTTTTATGACTGATATGATATTTTTCAAAGTAAGTGCTAAACCGTGTTTACATACCTTCTCTGATTCTTCTAAATACCAAGGAATAGTGCATTGCAACATAATAACTTGTTGTGTTGTAAACTGTGATACCATATCGGTTTAATAGTGAAAACTCTATTTCGATAATATTTACTTTGGGCTAACTTTAACCCGCAACTGCGTTTACGTAGAAGGTGAAAATATTTTTAAAAAATACGTATGTTCAGGCGCTATTTCCGTTTACGCAGCCGAAGCTCTCAAAAGAAAAAAAAACGATTTGAAAATACTAATTTGTAGTGTTGGATACCAAACCGAGACAAAACTAATAAAATAATTTTTACTAGGCTGTTTTAATCAAACATAACTATTAAGAATCAAGTGCCATAACCTAGTGTATAATTAATCATAAACGTAGGACTATAAAGTATTGCCCTGCGATGTGATGTACCTTGCATTATTTAAATTTTGTAGATCACATATTTGTAGTCTTGTAGAAGCAGCAGGTTCACATTGACAGTGACAGATAGTATGAGTTAAACTGGACTTTTGAGTTTTAATTTTACATGAATTTATATAAATACATATGCTAATTGTAACACTCTACTTAGTAGTTTCTATATGCTATATTAAAAAAGTATCAAACACAATAACTTTGGTATCTTTAATGTAGAAACTATTATAAATAACAGCTTCTATACTATCATTTCTATTGAAAATTAATTATTGTTCTACCAATTCTACCAATTAAGTAAACAATAAATAATTATAGTAAATGAATTGTTCTACCAATTCATTTACTATAATTAATTATTGTTCTACCAATGATGAACCTTGCTTAAAATAAAGAAAATTTCTTTGAATTTCCTTATTACTTATGATAGATCTAATCAGTCACAAGAAAGTATCTTTTGTTCATTTTAACTTATCCAAATAAAGTTGTGGTGAATTTGTAACCTTTGCTTCAGAGAAGTTTTGAATTGGTGAAGAAATTTTGAGATCTAAATGACAGTTTTGTTTTTTTTTTGTATTTCATCTTTATTGTATGACTACCAAATGTTAGTTTGTTATAAACATACATCATCTAATATTTACAAGTATTATGTTTTTTTTGTAATTGTATAATTAATAGGAAAATAAAAACAAAATAAAAATTCCTACTCTATAACTGTCTATTTAATATTTAGGAAAATAATGCCCTCTTGCCTTCTTTGAGCGTTTAGCTTTTTCAAGATCAACATTTGGGTATTCTGCCTTTAACTTTTCCATATCCATATTAGGAAACCGTTTCAATAATTGCTGGACATGATTGAAGTCTCTGTTTCGAGCTTTCCTATCATTATTATGTTGCTTCTCTCTGTTCAGCCTGTAAAATCTTTTGACAGCAGCACTGTTTGTGAAACCATGTTCAAGGTATGGCCTGACCCAACGAGTATTCATAAATTTGGGTAAATAATGCTCCGACTTCTCATATTTTTCAGGTAATCCAAAGATGTTAACAACATCTTCCACTGGTCTTTCTCCTGTCTCTCCTGTTTCGAGTTTGTAATAAGCGACGTTTCGTTCCCTTACAACAGTTTCTATATTATTCATAGATTCTTGAACTTTATCAATTCGTTCTGGATTCGGAAACAATTTCATTCTGTCATTACATTCATGCTCCATTGTATACAACATATTCCTCTCTTTCAGAAGTACATACCATAATTTGTGTAAGTCGGAATTTGATTTAATTCTCAATTCATCTAACTTCCAGGCTCTTCCGACTCTTATGCTTGTCTCAGTCCAATTTTTCTTTGAATCGAAGAACTCCATTAATTCGTAGGACGGAATTGTAGTATGTATATCTTTTTTGAACGCTGAAGATGCAACAATGTTGACTGCATTATGAGATCGTAAAATTCTGGCGAAAGTGTTCCTAACTAAATAACTGATCATCGCTGTGGTCATAACAAAATCTTTTTGATCTTCTTATTGAGTAACTTTTAGGTTAAAAATTGACTGTCAGAGTTGTCAGACACATTATTTGACAATTATTTTTTTTTGTATTTTTATGGCCTGGTAACAAGACCTTTAAGCCAATTGACAATTGAAAATGTTACTACAGTGTTGCCGTTTTCATAGGCCGCTGTGGATCGTCAATCTACACGTGTGTTGGCCCGATCTAGTATTGACGGAGTAATGAATTTATTGTTTAAAAATATTACAATTATTTCAATGACAGTGACTTTGTACTACAATAAGTTATTTTTGTACACATCGTATTATAAAAGCTTGGCTCTTAAGTTTTTATGAAATTTCATCAGTTCGTGCTGATAATAACTTGTCTGCTATCAATATTAAATGCTAAGACAAAGACATTTATTGCAAAAACTTTGTTACATATGCAAATGTTTTGTTTTTAACTACGCTATGATGGTATGCAACTAAAAATATGAAGCAAATAAAGACAGAAATTATAATTATAGCAACTTCTCTAAAACTGCTTATTTAATGTTTTCATATTAATTAGATCTGAAGAACTTATTGTGTAACATCTCGATTTTTTATAATTTCATTTTTTTTCTATTTCGATTTTCTAATCTGTGAGTATGATTTTCTAAAGAGGGACGGCAATGTCTTACAAGAATCCATGGAAGCGCGCGTGGTATGAATTGACTAATAAGAACACACGATCACGGTACTATTATAATACAGTAGTGTAACTCGGCCGCATGATAGAAATAAATGCCTACAGCCGCGCGGTACGTAAACATGCGTTAGGGCTGCCCGTCTCCAGCATTTTAATTATATTTGCCTACTTTCTGTTTCTATTTAGATTTGTAATTGTAAATATCCTTTTTATATAAATAAATGAAATACTTTGTATATTGAATAGGAAGTGTTCAATAAAAATGCGTGTTGTTTTTTGATTGGTAGATTTAATTATTTTATTTTCTTTCTGCATTGGAGGAGTTTTTAGTGGTATATGTTGTTATAGTAGCAGCAGAAACACTTTGTGAAAATTTCGAAAACTATCTAATGACACACAGATAATAAACAAATATTATTAAAAATAAAATACCACGTCTTTACTTTGAATTATGCAAAGTAACAAAACACACATGCACCGAAGTTTTAACACAAGCGTAAGTAGGTAGGTACCTACCGTATCATGATTTATTCAGAACCGCATATAACTACCTGTTTCACTCGTCTCAATAACTTTCCGTTACTCTATTCGCTTTATTAGTTAATCCAAACACCTTTTTTTCGTAAGATAAAAGGAAATACTTATCCATAAAAAAGACATACATTATGTACCTACCTACTAGTAAGTAAAATTATTTTATTTAATTAGTTTTAATTAGTCTTACCTTTCCGAGTTTCCAGGTAATTAAAAAAACCTTATGTCTGGATGCGTTATTGACGAATTCATACAACCAAAAACAGCACAATATTTCCTACTCGTCATATTAACTGATTTTTAGAGATAAAATCGCGCGGTTATTGTTAAAAAAAACAACACACCGTCCGTTCGACACTGCGGTACAGCCGTGACTGTCTGCGCCCCGAGCGCACCCCGAGATCGAGGCGCGTAGGTATAGCTCGCGTTTCGTCCGTTTGTATGAAGTTGGAGTACTGTATTATAATTGTACCGTGACACGATGCTTGACTAGGTCGCCAGGATTTAAATTTTATATGTCGCATATGAGGCTAGTATTTTTAATTTTCTTTCGGTCTCTTTTTTTAATCTCTACAGACTACACTTACTCGTTTTATTACATTGCTGTTATTTAGAATGGAAAAGAATGTCTGTCTGTCTGTTAAGATACATTCTGAAAAATCAGTCAAAACATTTAAGTTGTGAATAAGGTACTACTACAATTTTATTGTTATTTTAGAACGTGGTTGTTTATGACGTTTGCAGCGTTTCGTTTATCACTTGTGTGTATTTGCAGGTAATTCCTGTTTTCCTACCAAAAACTTATTTATAACTTCATAGTATCTACTTCATGTTACTTATGTATTTTAGTAATAATGTCAGTGGTTTTATTTTTGTTATTTGTCAAAATATCTAGCATTTAAATTACATTTGTGCGATGACGCTTAACAGGAATAACTAAACATGTCAGTGAAGTAATGTCGTGCTCAGAGTGGGTGGCAGAAAGGACGCATTTTATTATGTTTGACTGGAAAGTACAATAAAAACAAAGCGGAATTAATGATTCATCAATATGTACTTCGAGTTCTTTAAGTGTTCGTATAACTCGAATACTGCAAAGTGTGTGTAGTGAATGTTTTTTATTTTTGATGATTCCATCATCGCTCAGGAAGCTTATGAAAGGTAATAACATCATTCACCTTAGATACAAGTACAATTTTTGTAAGATGTATTGAATTTCGTTAGTTAGTAAGTATTTAAATTAATGAAGAACGGAAGAACATACTTTGTTTAATATTGCATACCAATTAGAAAAAAAAAAGAATTGTTTATAAGAATTTATTGGAAAAGACCGAAGATAAACTAATTATCTATACATTATGTTTTTTAATTAAGGAAAAACTGATCTGTTAGACGTAAAACTTTTGTGTTTTTTTGCTTCTAAAAATATTTTATAAGGCTTATGTGTTAAATCTGTTGTTGTTTCTTTCAATTAAGGTACTAAGCAACTCTTTTAACATGATACACACCAAATAAGTAAAGCTAAAAGCACTTAAAAGGGGTTTTTTGTTTTTTTTATTGTTTAAATATTTTTATGTTAAGGATCTTGTTAAATATGTACATAATTAACTGTCCACATTAAGGTAGCTTGAATCTATTTATTTAAATCTCACAAAGATTTAATATTTTCATACCCCTAATGAAACAATGTTATTGGTAAAATACCCAAAGTTACATAACTTATACCTTAGTATTATATTTAAGCGTTTATATTAGTATCTATATAAATGGAGAGTATAAATATTTATAATTATTTATATAGAAATTGAAATCTAAGGATTCATGTGGGATATAGGAATGCTATCTAGAGAAACCTTTATTTTTTTTGCATTATAAAATTTTATGGTCAAAGATATTATTAATTGATTGAACAAAGTTAAAGTTAACAAATGATTAAGATATCTCTCTTTTGCACCCAGTGTACCAAAATTAATCATTGCATTTGTATTTAAAGAAATTATAGGATAACACAAGTAGAAATTGATTTATATTCACATTATTTAAAAAAAGGAATGAGATTTCAAATATACAATTGTTAGAAATATTAAAATTACACTTCTTATAAATTGTCTTACCGAAAGTTTCTTTTTGTTGTTTGATAAAACCAATTATAAGTAGTGAAATTATTAAAAAAAATCTTTACATTGATAAAAACTGTTTCGTGTAATATTAATGCAATTCACATTCTGATGTTCCACAATTCATGATGGTGGAGTATAGTGAGTGCAAGAGATATTCAACACAATAAAATTCTTTAGCTCTGCAACACAAAAAGTAGGAGATTAGTTAAACCCACATATTTTTTTTGTTCATATTTGTGTCTGGTGGATATTTTTATCTTTGTTTCTGTCTGAAGGAATCGAGATAGACCAAATTTTTTTTTTTTTTTAATGTTTTTTAGGTTTGTTAGCTATAATTTGAGAACTTTTTTCTACCTGTTTGAAAATCATCAGCTCTATTCTAATGGGTGAATTGATTTTTGTTTCAGGCGTATTTTACTATTTTTATTTTGTTCTACCTATGTAAAAAAAAAACACAAAAAGAAAGCCTAACAACCAAGATATTTTCAACCTAGGGAATATTACCAATACTAGGCCCAGTCCACTAGCAACAAGTAGGCGGCGCGCTCGACTTGTCGGTCCAAATACGGACTGGCGAGTACCCACCGTGGCCGGGTCACGCGTGTTTTCATACGTTCATAAGATATTTCTAACGCGCCGCGTCATGTGTTTCGTTTGTATCTAAACTATCGGGTTAGTTATACTACCTCATAGTACCTTAAATAACTTACTGCTAATTAAATAGTCGAATTAAGAGTCTTCTTTAGAAGAATAATCTTTAAAAGAAGACAACTGTGGAGTTCATAATGGTAAGAGAGGAAACTTTTATGTGACTAAAACTATGGAAAATTGGGGCTGTGTGAACTGAATTGTGCTTTATTCTGTTGAAATGATTTATTAGAGTAAGTCTTTTGTACTTGAACAATTACGCATTTTGTGTTCATACTGAGCAATGTTAGGTTGTACATTATATCTACGCACGTATAATCACAGTAATTGTGATCTAGAATCATTTCTGTACCCTACTGACTTTAAAATTGTAGCTTACCATGATATTTTGAATACGGGAATTAAAACGATCACGTAATAGGTATTACATTCCATGGAAGTTAGGTGAAGTTAAGTGGAGCCTAGACAGTATACAATTACAGAAACCCCCGACATCCCCAAAACTCTTTCCACTTACCACTTCCAGTTACCTTCCCACACCCTTATTCTTGGGGAAAAGGGTTGACAGGGCGGCAACGCACTTGTGATTCTTGAGTTGCAAGTGTCCGTAGGCGGCGGTAGTCACTCACCAGGTGACCCGTCTGCTCGTGTGCTTCCCTATGCCATAAAAAAATTACTACTATCCTTCCTAAGATTCATTCATCATTCAACACAAGTAGAAATTGATTTATATTCACATTATTTAAAAAAAGGTATGAGATTTCAACCATACAATTGTTAGAAATATTAAAATTACACTTCTTATAAATTGTCATTCATTGATTCATTCATCATTCTTCATCTGTTGCGGAAGTGCGAGTGTAAAATAGCGGCATCTATAAACATCATCAACAGCCTTTAGTAGTCCACTGTTGGACATAAGCCTCTCCTTAGAAAGGAGGTTTTGGCCTACTATACCACGCTGGCCAAACGGGTTGGTATAGGGTTTGTGTCAAGTTTTCCTT